AAGATTTTTTTTTTTGAATTTTGACTTTATTTACCTATACAAAAACACTGTATGGGCATGGAAATGAAACAAACCCTTTTATACATCAATTATACTTACAAGAAGCACACAATTTTCTGATTTTATAAAGAAAAAGATATTCAAAGTTCTTGATTACTTAAGAAATAATGAATTTTCACTTAATTACTTTGCAATGAGCTGCCAATATTTTTTGAATTATTTGATTCAAGGAATGCATTTAAAAATTTTTTTCTTCATTTATTTATGAGGTTCTTTGATTTACTGTATAGACATTTTTTACAATTTAGTGAATGGTTAATTCCTCTTTTACTAAATTTGCAAGTGTTACTTTATTATTTTTCAATTCAAACAATCAATTAAGTCTGTAGTAAGTTAATTTAGTTCTATTTTCTTTTCTAACGTCCAACTTAAGTACATCATCTCAAAGGAAACAATGGACAAGGGGTGTTAATTATTTAGCATTTAACTGGTTATTTATATTTAGTTAATTGGAAGTTCATTGTTAGTTTTCGATATCCCTCCTAGTCTATGATTAAGTTATTTTTTTTATACTTTTTCATATAGCAAAACAATGTACATAGGGTAATGACTATAAAGAGAAAATGCCCTATGATGCCTTAGCCATTCTGTCTTGTTTCCTTAACCCTCCACATTATCTGTTTACCCGTAACAAATTATTTATTTTCTTCTGTTATGAATTTGATTCCATTGTTTCCTATTTCAATTAAGGATTAGTTTTGTTTTTTCCTCGACTTTCATTATTAATGTAAATGTTACATAGCTTTTATTTGTTCTCTGTAAAATTGAGTCTTAAAGTGTGCCAGACATAGACCCTCCTCTAAAAATGAAAATCTCAACTAAATGTGTTATAAGCATCGCAAAAAATAGAAGGGAAAAAATTATAACGAAATTAAAAAATCTGATTTTTTAGTTGGATGATACCAGCCCTAAGATTGGTAATTTTTTTTTTTTTTCAGCGTTCCCCTACTGTTGAGTGTGAACATGAAGGACAGGCTGAAGTACTCGATGATTCATCTTTATTAAACAACGGTATGTATTGCAGCCTAAGACAAAAAATAAATCAAACAAAGGCGAAGAGAAAATTATGGCCCCGTTCAATAAACTCGTCCAAATAATAGAAAAACAGTGCGGAAATACAAATAAACCCAAAACAATTGCACAGAATTATGGGTCCATGTTAGGAGAAGGGTTGGACCAATTACTTCAACCAGAACAAAGTTTGTGCATATGTGAAATGGAACAAGGCTTGGGGAAGATGTGTGCGGACTTTGTGGAATAAAAATATTTGTAATATTGAAACCAGCACTAGTTTAAACAAAATGGTAGCCTGTGCCCGTGGTATTGCGAATGCACCATAAAGAGTGATTTTCCAGCAACATGCTGGGCCATTTAAAAAATATAAAACAGACACTTTTTCTGTAAATACTAGTAAGGTTGTACCTCCAAAAAGACATATTATTAATAAAGCCTTTTTAAAGGTGTTTGAAGAAGATGGAGAATAATCCAGTAAATTATTAGAATACTCATTAGTTATTCAGATTTTTCTGATGCATTTAAAAATGCTTTATTTGTAATGTTAAATTCCTTTATTCATGATGTATAAACAAAAACATATCTTGTATTCATTAATTTGTATGTTGTATTAATTCATTTATATTTTGTATTGTATATTTGAACCTAAAAATATTTATTTGTTCATTAATAGAATTTCTATTTTGTATAATAATAACAAAGTTAAGATATAAAGATTAATTTTCTAGCAACATTATAATTATTAAATTTAGTTTATGTATATGATTTATTATATTTTGCAAATATATGGGTTGTATGTATTATAAATAACATCTTCCATCATTTCCCTTCAAACATATATATTACAACTTGTGTATAAATAACCAATAAATGATAGGTATATGTCAAATTTCTAAAATTAAAAATGCGAATAACAAAACAAAGGCAGTCTCACTATGTGGTTAAAATTTCCACACTTAGACTTAATTGTTATTTTAATCAGACAATGTTTTATACAAATATAACTTTTTTAGGCTTAGGATGGTTGATTATTTATTGAAGTAGGCATCAAAATTGGCACTGTATGATGTTAGTCTCTAACCATGATACAGTCATTTAATTACAAATATAGTATTGTATTATGGTGTTTCAATATGTGCTTAAAATGTTATTAATGCAACTTTATTAGAGTCTAGGTTAGTAATTTTGTGAGTTGTTCGGTTTTATTTGAACTGAAGATATAGAAAAAAAAAGAGATATAGCTTAACACTAATGTCTGTGAAATGTAAAATTAGTAGACAGCCTGACACAAATATGGACACTGAAAAAGAAACTAATCATTTAAAAAAAATAATGAATACTTGTTTTCAACTCTCTAAATGTAGAACAAGCATAGGTTAAAAAATAAATAAATTTTGAACTTTTTTTTTTATATTGACTGTAAATAATATTTGAAAATGGATATTATTTTATTTAATGTAATGCGAAGTATTGGGATCATTAAAAATTTCATCTCTGAGTTTTCAATTGAAAAACATGTTGTAGGGTTCTGTAAGCACTTCCCTGTATAGAAAAAACTTTTTGCGTAATGGTTTTTTTGTGTAAATGCAGAATCAAGCTAAAAATTGAAAAGTTAAGTGATTATACTTATTTATTAAGGTTGATAGGAGTATGGCAGCGATGTAATTGCAAATTGTTGGCTGAATTAATTTTACCAAAAGTGGAACTTGACATAATTGGTTTTATAGAGTATTTCAATTGAACTATAAAACGGAAATAAATAATGAAGAGTAGTATTAGATGAAGAAGAAACATGAAATGGAATAATAAGATCTAAATAATAAAATGTAATTAGATGAATTAACAAAAGCTTAGTTTATGATAATAACAGGTAATGAATAAGTACGAAAGGTTATGATATATATGCCTTACACACAAAAAGAATAAGTACAAAATGGCAAATATATGGAAATATAATAAATCAAATAAATATATAAAGTAATGAAAAATGGGAATAATAAGTAATGGATTAAAAGTTTTGATATTTAAAATATATTATGTAAAAATGTTAAAAGATATAATATGTTATATTTCATATCTTACTTGATTTTATTTATATGAATCCTTCTGCTAACAAACTTCCATAATTCATTTAATGGTAAATAATATCTTCATTTAATTTTTGTAGTTTATAATGATTTGTTTGTTATTACTGAAAGACAGAAAGTTAGTTGCACAGAAAATTTTGATTTTGAAAAGATTTTGATTAAACTCGTGTATCGTTGTATAATTAAGTGGTCTTTTCCGGAAATACTTGTCAGAAGTTATATCGTTGGAAAGCGGATAATTTTAGAAAAAAACAATATGAAATATAGAAAGTAATGGAGAGAAATTATTATAAATAATAATTTGTGTAAACTAATATTATTTTACGGAAATCACATTTTTTCAAGGAAATTAAATAAATGAAATTTACTAACTAAATTTAAATTGTTTTTAAGTTTGAAAAAGTATTTAAAATTCACCTAATCAACGCAATGTTATTGTTAAAAAACTATTTCATAGTACTAATGTGAAAGAAGTGAAATATAAAAATATTAAATGGATGTATAAAGCCTATGTTTATAACCTTAAATACATTTACTGTAGTTTAATAATTCTAAATCTGATATTATTTTAAATAATTAGGTATCAACGTCCGTTGATCGTCGTATAACATTTAAAAAAATTAAATTAGTGAGTAATTTGATGAATTTTCCCTTTGTTAAATTAGTGTAACAACTTTTGAGCCATCTATGACAGGCTATGAAAATCTCGTAATTTCTTTGTAGTAAACTTTACAATGGAAAGTAACAGTTTAATAACTAATAGGCGTAGAATCCATAATAATTTATAGGTTGAATATAGAGATATGCTTGAAAATCTCTCTAGACATATGTATATTGCTCAGAGACCGGAGTTATATGGTTTACGAAAAAAGATGGGGTAGGGAGGTTTTTATTATCTACCGTTGATATAATTAATAGGGTTTCTGTTATTTTAGGGATGATAATGATTAGTTAGCTGTAGACCTTTAAGATATAGATCCGTTAAAAGTGCACTTAAAAATTTTTATAATTGCTCAACATTTCCAGAAAATAATTTCTATTCAAAGTAGAAAGGTAAGTGATAGTTGTATGTTGTGCGCACTAATTTTGTTTTATTCCGGATATTGCAAAAAAAAAGCGGAAAATGGAAGTTTCTGTGTCAGCCAATCACAGTGGCTATTCAATGCATCACTAGCGTAGCGCAACGGCCTAATGCAAAACTTGCTTGGATTTTGCCTAAGTTTTCCATTCCGGATGGATATGCAACAAACCGGGGTAAACAGCCCATTACCTTCCACCAGCTGGTCAAAATATCCCACCACCCTTCTCCCACTCTCGCCCTTTCTTTTGTTCTCTACGACAGTGGCGCTAGCAAACTCGGGCAAATTCCCATAAAACTGAGGCAAAATGCGGGAATTTGCCTCGATTTGCCTGTAGTGTGGGCCCAGGGTCAGATTGGCTTGATAAGTTCAACAATCATAAAGGCATTGCTAAACTGGTCACGAGTGTTGAGCTCTGTTTACAGCTGATATTAGTACCTTTGACATTTTATATGTTTTGTTTTCTGTTGATGTTGTACTTAAGGGGATCGAGAATTTCAGAACACCGATAAAAAAATGTCTCCGGTTTCTAAGATCTCCAGACTTACGTTTAGTGATTTTAAGTGCCTATGCTGTGTATGTTTTTATTTTAAACAATACTTGTGAAGTCAGATATATACATTTTATGCAATGTGACACTAAATGTGATCTGTATTTTTCGTGAACCTCGTGTATAAATGGTTTTTAGTCGTTTTTGTTAATATTAAGTTATTTCCTTTCAATACCAGTTATATTTATATAATTATATCCATATTTACATATGATGGATTTGAAGGCCTTGCATAAAAGTTCAACCTTCAATTCATTTACTGCTGGAAGTACTCACAAAATAGGTGCTTGGTTTGCTTTTCTGAATGTAAGATCAAAAAAATCCTCTATTAAAGCATCCAAAAGCATTACGCTAGGTAAGTCTGTATGAATTTAATTTTACTTCAAATGTATGTTGCAACCTAATGAAAATCTTGATATAATTCCAGGTTGACTTGTATATTTAATAATCATTTTAAATTCTATAATATCTTTAATCTAAAATTTTTCTTTACCATAATATAATTCATTATTAGTGATTTTTGACACTACGTAATTGTGTTGACAATGGCATTAACTAATCATCTGTACTTGTTTATATAAGTTTTCCTGTTATTCTGTTATATTTTTAACATATAGTTTCATGCACATATACTTCAAACAGGTTTATTTACAGTTTAGTGGTGAATCAATGAGTAGCCTTGTGTCAGTACTTGATACTTATCTCTGATTTTTTATATTCTATTGTTGAAATGAAATTTCTTATAAGGGTTTGGCAATCAAAATGCTCTTAAAGTCAATTTGTTTGGGTGTAACCGAACAGTAGGATATTAATTTTATTAATTTGGATCATCAGCTAACGCTGTTATAAGTGAATATTTGTTTCTTAAGTATGAATAATTTAAAAAAGATAGGTAAGATATCTTTTTTAATGTTTTTCATCAATTATATTCAGTTGAAATGCTACTTTATTTTGTCTCAAAATTATTTCATAATAAATTAACTCGTATAAATAACAGGAACTTGTAATGAAATTTTATATTAGAAATAAGAATATTCATAATTATTTGTCATACAAACTAAATAAAATATTATCTACATTCAAATATTTTATTGACTCAATGAAATTATTTTACTTGTGACATATTTACCATTATATATATAGGTGTATATATATTAATATTTGATTTTTTTTAATGGTTAATTAGTTTCTATTTTTCTTTAATTGAAAATACTGATGATGTTTACATTTTTGTTTAATCATTGCTAACTGTAAACAATAAATAAATGTAAAACAATTATATATTATGATTTTTTAAATAATGCTTCCTTTTAGCTAGTTAAATTGGATATTTCTTAGGTTTTGAAATTCAATCAGCATATCTTGCTACCTTTAATATTCAATATATTAAATATTTTATGTAAAGTAATATTAAATGAAAAATATTCATACTGTTCATTTATTCATTTTATTTTTTTTACTGTTAATGTATTAATTTATATAATTTTAGAAATTGATAAAAAGGTTGAAAATAACTGCATCTTAGCTTTTAAAATCAATCTTATTGCTATTTAAATTTTTTATTTTTATTTTTTAAACAAATTTTAAGAAATTTATAGCGATAGGACGTAATATTCCAACATTTTTGTTAACCGTGAAGATCTCTGTAGAAAAAGTGTGGTGCGAGAACTTAAGAGGTTTTCTCTTATTTCATTTTGTGATTCGGATACTGTCCTAAATAAGGAAAATAGATAAAAAAACTATGAAAAGATATAAATGAGGAATAAGAGATAAAAGGCTACACAAGATTTTCATTTACTAATGTATTAATCTATGCTGCTGTGTTAGTAGTTGAGTAAAAGATTTGATGCCTAAATAAAACAATGGGGAAGAACACAGGAATAATGTAGTTGTGTACTGACTGTGAGATATAAATTTCACAACCATGGTCGAAGGTTTTCTGTGAGGATTCACTATAGTGAGAAAATCATATTTCATGAATGTACTTACTAATACATTCTCTGTGATGCTCAAATAACATATTAACATTGACTAGGGATGAAAAGAAGTCTTCATATACTTCTTATTTTGACCTAGAGAAGAGCACAAACTCCTCATTTTTTTATGTATTTTGGGCAACAGCCAAATATTTCACAGTAACTTATCCAAGATTAAAGTGGTGCGACTCGATCCTTAATGGTACATTATATAAAAAGTAATTTTAAAATGTGGGTTACTTTTTTGCATATTAAAATTGATCTATGTATAATTGAATATATATATATATAATTGTATTGCAACAATCGACTAGATTATGAGTTACAACTGCTAACGTTGAATTTTAAATTAATAGAAACCTCAGTGATAATACAATATGTTGGCTTATAAAATGTATTACAGTGGTCTCTCTTTTTGGCATTGCAGACCATGTTGATCTTTTGCCACCTTAACAAGTCTGCTCCATCTCTGCCTGTCTTGGGCTATTTCTTAACAGTTATCTGCACGCAGCTCTGTTGCATCTTTGTTGATTCTATCTATCCATCTGCTTTTTTGCCTTCCACGTGGTCTTTTGCCTTCTATTGAAGCATTCGTTTTTTTTTTGTTTTGTTTTTCTTAAAGATTTAGGGTTTTGAATTTTATCTGTTTATACTAAACAATATACAAAGTTTGTAAATGATTAAAAACTGTTATACAATATTATGATATTTAATTAGCACTATACTTTTATCAGTCCTTTATGAGTAAATAAACTCTTATCTAAAAAGCTTTAGATTTACATAATTGTATTTTTATTTTCATTTTTTGTATGAGTTATAGTCAACCAAAACTGGATTTGAATTGTTTGCACATTACCTTCACAGATACAATATAAATACATATTTTTTTAAATTGATTATAATATAAATAAGAATTTATTGATGCTCTTGAACGATCTCCAAGTACTTTCTTTAATTTTTCTTTTATCTTCATTCTTAAAACCTTTTCTCCTATATGTTTCACATCCACTACTTCAGAGATATTATCCTTTACTTATCTGTTTTCTCAGTAGTATGTTCAGCTCTTTTATTTAAAGGTTATATCTGATGTTTATTTTAATACTTGCTTTGTGTCAGATGATAATTTCAATGTTCTGTAAACTCTAGAAATATCTTTTCTGCAAAATATACAAATAATAAAAAATCTATTATATATTGTTTTCTTTAGTTTACTATAAGTGATTTCTCCTTCAGTAGTGAATTTGAAATTTATCCAATGTATAATACATTTTTTCCTGTTAAACTTCTTTCCCCCTTGTAACATTATTTATTAAAAATTATTCATAGTGGCATTGTGACTGGATTAAAAAAAAAAAAGAAAATAAATAAACGTTTCATTATAAAAATCAGGTTTGCAAAGAATAGTTCGATTTAATTCAAGATCCATATTTATGATTACCACCCATTATCACATTAATAAGTCAAATTAAAACATTTTAGTGTTCTTTGATACCATTTTGTGTAGATGGACTATTTTGTTTCCTGCTAAGAAGGCAGTACATTTGTATTTAATCTGGAAAAAAAGAAAGATACAGTTACAAAATTCATTAATGGCTCATTTCAATTGAGATTATTAAAGTGATGGCAACAAATTATTTGGTAGAATAGACAATAAAATAAAAAAAAATGTAAAATAAGTTTCTCTTAATATATATATATTTTTTAAAAATAACTTTCTGTTGCAAATTTTACTATATCTTGCTTGAATGACTACCTTAAGATGTCCTGGTACTGTTGAGGAAAACTAATCCAGCAAGTGGGTCTTTTGATCCTTTTTGCCAACACCTGTAAACCTATTAGGTCTACACCTGTTCTGTTAGCTTGCCCTTCGTACTAAACAGAGTGGAGGTGTCAAAATTCATTACTCAGGGCCACCAAGAAAAGAATATTAACTGACTCAGGCTGCAATCAAATCCACAACATTCATATAATCTTCCACTCTAGAATTTGTGCTACTGGTTATCAATCCTTTTTCCATAGAGAAATTAACAATCCTAATGCCATTGATATTAGAATTATTTTACTTACTGTGGGTTCCAATAGTGCGTAGGAAAGAAGACTTCTTTTCTTAGACTTTATATTACTCATAATTATCTTAAAGTCACACTTAGGGATTGAGTCGATTCTGCGGAATGTATTTCATAAAAACTTATCTTTTTCTTCATCTTTACTTATCCTTGGTGGGTTTATGAACACTAATTAGCAACATATTGAATAATTTTCCCTTCAAACTTAACACATACATTCTTTTGTTTCTTGCTTTATAAATAAAAATAGCATTTTTCAAAAGTTTTCCTTATCATGAAGTCAGCTCCAAATCTATTTTCTTTGTGCCCACTATTTACAAACATTGACGTATGTAGATACATAATTTCAGTTTTTCTTCATCTAATCTTGTGCAAAGTTGCTACATCTATTTCATAGACATGTGCTACCTCCTCCAAATTTCTGCTTTTCTCTGTTTGTCCTAGACCTCTTACATGGCATATTGCTATATTTATCAATTTAATTTTCTGTTGACATAGAATAGGCATAGTCGTTTTCTTAAATCTGTCTGACTGTCTGACTATTCATATTGTCTACGTTCAACACTCAACCTGGAGGGCTAGGGTTTACTCCATTAGCCTTTCAGCATAGTTCTTACTCACACGGCAAGGGAGAAGAGATATTAGGTTGAGGGAAGAAAGACAGGAATACACAGTAGGTGTACCGGGAGGAATGGGTTTATGTCTATGGACTGTTGTTCATTTTGTCGCCTTTTACAACAAGCGGTAAATATTGTGATTCTATTCTATTCATAAGATATACAATAAAGAAATAAAACAAAATAATCGCTGCTTAGTTTAAAAATTTAATTTTATTTTGGTTATAATTATTCATGAAATTTACAACTGTATAAATTAAATATACATCTAGTCAATGTGTACAGAAAAATACAATAGCATGAAAAGAATTGTAGAGAATCTACCCATAGGTAGCACTCAAATTAAGTATCTAAATTAGGAGATCATGAAGCCATTTTCTTTTCAGATGCCTTGGGGGGTGGGAGGACGTATCAGTGATCGAAGAGGAAGCAAGGTTAGAAACGAGAGATTTAGGATGGTTCTGAACTTTATTGCGGAAAAATAGGTATCAAGATTGGGCCTATTCGGAAACGCATAGAACATTAAGCTCATTATGGACGATTTTATTTGTGGCAAAGTAAGGAACATTAAGGATTTTGGATTGTAAGGATTGGATACAAGAGGAATTCGATGGCTTAATGGTGCCCCGAAAATCAACTCCATATGTCCAAATAGGTCTTATTATAGTCATGTACATGAGTCTTTTGTAGTTAATTAGGAGTTTAGAGCGTTTGTCTAGTAAGTGCTGAAGTAGTCGGAAACGTCGAGGGGTTTCTTGTTTTTTTAGTCTGTTATGGGGATTCCAAGTTAGACATAATAAGTGGGGTATTATTAAAGGATACTGTAGGACAGGAAGTCATAGGTTTATGTCGAAGGGTAAAGGTGATTTGGTGGGATTTATTGGAATTTATTTTGATTCCCCAATTTTTAACACCATTCTTCAAGATTTGTGATGTGTGATTGAAGAGTTTAGGATGCAATTGATGGGTCGTTATTAACTGATAGGACACGTGTGTCATCGGTATAGGTGGTGATGACAGTGTTGGGATGTCAGCTGTATAAGACTGTAAAGGATAGGACCTAGGATACTACCTGGAGGAACACCAGCAAACTGAGAAAAAAGGGATGAATAGGCATTGTTATGATTCACTTTGAAGTATCTGTCAGTAAGATAGGAACAAATAATGAGGAAGTATGTAGGTGGTAGGAACTCACGGAGTTTGTACAATAGTCCCGGGTGCCAGACTGTTTCAAACGCCTGTTCAACTTTGAGAAAGACTCCCGTGCAGTACATTCCACACTTCAATACAGAGGAGACTACATCTACCACACGATGACATTGCTTGATAGTGGAATAAGATGTGCAGAATCCAAATTGGTGATCTGGGATTATGTGATTAGAATCTAGGATAGGATACAGGCGTTTTAAGATAAGTTTTTCCAGGATTTTTTCTATGATGGGTTAAAGAGAGATACCGTAAGAGGATGGATATTCTGGTGACTTTTTGGGTTTATGTATCATTTTAATAATTGATAATTTACAACAGTCAGGAAAATGTGTGGAGTGGAGTACAGCATTCTATATAGAAGAAGAAAAAGAAAGTAAATTTTATTCTGGGACATTTAGTCCTCTAAGAATAACTCAGTGAACAAAAAAATGACAATTGTCTGGTACTATAAGAAAATAAAAAATAATTAGTTAACATAGCACGATAACCCAACCTTAAAATTAAAATAAATTAAGTACAAGTAAACATATTAATTTTCACATAAATATATATGAATATGTTCATATATTTGTTCTGATTAACTATATTGTTAATATATTGATAGCACTAATATATCAGTCAAATGAAGGTGTCAGCTCTTAAATATGAAATTTTGTTCTTACGTGTGTTTGGAAAATTGATTGCTTAAGAGGTGGAAGAATAATTGTTATTTAAATGAGGTTAAGGAAGAGAATTCACGTCTGGAGGCAGGTAATGAATTCCAGAAAAAGGTGGCATCCATGACAAACGATTTTTTAAAGGAAACGGTTCTATGAGAGGGAACAAATAGGTTTATGGAATGGGATCTCGCGTTAACAGAGGAACAAGGAGTAAACAAATTAAGGAGGCAAGATGGCTTTTTGGTTGTAAAGGTTCAGAAAAGGAATCCTTCTAGGAAATATTGCTGCCGGAGAACTGGGTAGAGCCACTTCAACTCGGCATACCAACCGAGAAATGGGGGCTCCAAAGATGAATCGTATGAAACAATTCATTAATCTCCTCATGCCCACCAGACAGTCCACCGTATACAATGCAGCCATAATCAAAGTGAGGAAACTAGGAATTGGCGGGTTTTTAATGGCATATAATTGCGGAATCTCAGGAACTGTTTTAGATTAGCAATGGATTTTCGGATAATTTGGGAAACATGATTATTCCAGGAGAGGTATTGATCGAAAATATATTCCTAAATTTCCAACAGAAATATGGAAACGAATAGGTAGTCCATTGAGGTAGACAAGGGGATAGTATGGGATGGAATTAATAAGATGCTTAAAACCAATGAGAATGGCTTTGGTCTTTTCAATGTTCAACTTTAAATCAGTACTCGCTGCCCAGGTGTTAATACTGTTTATTTGTTCTTGTACTCTTCGAATCGCCTCAAGCATCTCAGTAGGATAAAAGTAAAGATAGATTTGGATATCATCATACAAGTGGTATTGTAAATGGTGGATGAAATCGGGCAGGTCGTTGAGGTATATGGAGAAGAAAGTTGGAGGGAGCGATGATCCCTGAGGAACACCACGAGTTAGTGAAAAGGGGGAGGAAGGTGTTTTATTTGGAATAATGACTGTTTGGGATCTGTGATACAAGAAGGAACAGAACCACTTTAGGACGCTGTTTGATATGGAAAGATTTTAGAGTTTGGAAAGAAGGATTTCATGATTAACGGAATCGAACGCTTTTGAAATGTCAAACAGGATCAGGATGACAATTTTTGGTTTTTCCATGGAGAAATGAATGTCTCAGGTGATTTCAACAAAGCAGATTGGGTGGAGAACTGGAATCGGAAACCATACTGAAGGGGATTGAGGAGAGTCTTATGCTCAAGAAAGGTATTAAGCTGTGAATGGGCTAGTCTTTCGAGAGGTTTAGGAAGGTTGGAGAGGATGGAGATGGATCTGAAATCGGAAACTTTGGAGGAAACCGGAACTTTGCTCAATGGGCGGACTATAACTTTTTCCAAGCTGATGGGAAACTAGAATTTTGAAGGGAAAAATTGTCAATATGCAATAGGACAGGAAAGATGACAGGGAGACATAGTTTGACTAATTTCACTGGGATTACATCTGGACCTTAATTTGTTCTGGGTTTGAAGACAGAGGAAAGCAGGTCTTCTGGTGAGATATATATAAAGCATTAATGTTTAAACAAGGCACTGAAACTTAACATGTGGTTATCCATTTTCTGATTGTTTTGTAAAAATCCCCACAAACAAAAATGACAAAGCTTTTCATAATTCTATTCAGTCTGTCGCCAAGACAGAGAGGCCTCTGTACATCCCACAGCGATAGTCAAAGTGGGGGGAGATGAGGGAAAAAACTAAGAGTCTAGGGGTAGATTCGGGAAGGATATGACAGAAGCGATGGAATGATTTGAGAGAGAAAATTCATCGTTGAGTGATGTGGGAAGTGTGGTAATTCCAGGAAAGGATTTGATCAATGAAAGGCTTAGGCTTGCTCAGGCACTGATTCGATTCGATCTAGGTCTTCTTGAATTTTGGCAAATGCTAGACTCAATCTAACATAAGTTTGAGGGTGGGTAGAGGGAGAGAGAGATGCACAGTGGCAAATATTTTCCTGCCTATCCCTCACTTTTTTGTCTTCTCTACTCATTCATTCGTACTTCTAAATTTTTGTTTACAAGTAGAAATTTCTTTTGTAATTTGTTTTTTCCATTTCTTTTATCAATTTTAACAAATAACTCAGAAAGAGAGAATGATAAATCAATTTGGGAATCATTGGCATAAAGTTGATAAGTTAAGTGAGTAACCCGCAAAAATATTTTTAAAGAGGTGAATTGTTGAATAAATGATACTTTCAGTACATACTGACCAGAACTTGTTCTTAAGTAACATTACAAAATGGTACTTTTATTGTTTATTTAGTTTTAGACAATTCTTAATTCTCACTGCTCTAAATTTAAGTACGTAAAAATACTTCAATGATTTACATCTCATCTCAGTGCGGTTTGCACTTTTGTATAGTTAGTTATCAACAATAGCCTTACCATTGCTCGTTTCAATTTCATGTGGGCGACCAGAACGTTGAGCATCATTGATGTCAAAATTTCCTGAATGAAATTCGGCAAACCAATTTTGAAAGGTACATTCGGTTAAGGCATTATTCTCATAAACACTGCACATTTTTCTATGAGCTTCTGCAGCATGCTTACCTTTTTTTAAATAATATAACAAAATATGCCGATAATGAATAATATTTTCTTCCATATTCACAGTGCAATAGCAAACACAATACTAAGCTAGTTTCAACAAGAATTAACAGATATAGTTGTGGACATATTACAAAGAGGATAAACAATCCACCTTAGGGATTAATTCATCAGATAAGAAGTGTATTATAGTATAGTGACATAAAAATAAACAGAAAAACCAAAAGGACTTATTTGCCAATCCAATATTTTATTTTTCCTTCCTTTTTTTAAGGAAATGCAATCTTATTTTCTAAAAATCCGTTTTATTTTAATTATTTTTTATGAACTTATATATATGTATATATATATATATATATATATATATATATATATATATATATATATATATATATATATATATTGTAGTATCAAATGTTCAAAAAAGCTTATAATTATTATATGAAAAAAGTTAACTCCTATCTAGAAAAGATGGGTACTTATGAACTCTTTGGATGCTTTTATGTAAATCTTTTTATAGTTTTTTGAATAATGATTTTAAAATATTGGTAAAGGAAAGATGTGAGTTTAGAAATACTAGATAAAATCTCTATTACTGCACAGGATAATTTCATACCTGGAGTGTAGTGGTTGGTATTACATTTTAAAGTATTAAATAAATGAATTAGTATCTCCATTCAAACTTAAAATATCATATTTATAGAAATAATACTTTCTGAAGTGATGAAATGCAGTCACCTAAGAAAGTGAATTTGTTTTTATATATTAATTTTATAAGTTTGAAAGGTGAATTATTTTTTCCCCCCGAAATAAATACTTTAATAAAGCATTATTTTTTTTTTATCAGGTGCTGTTCCTGAAAATCCGAAATTTGAATCTGATGGTGAAGTAGAAGAGTCATCAGAATTATCTGCTCCAGTCGTACAATTGCGCCCAAAATCTAGGCATAGAAAAGATCTTAGTCTGTTGCAAGTTAGTACATAAAAATATCTTAATAAATTTGTTTTACTTATTATGTCTTTAAGTCCATATTAATTATTTCATATCTGGTTTGCTAAATGGGTTTTGCTAGGATTATCAAAGTGATAAAGCTATTAATATTTTTTTATTGAAGATCAGTCATGTTTTACGATGAAAAAAAATAAGACCATCTTCAAATCATTGTTTGATCAACAAATTTGGTATGAAGAAGAAAAAGAAAAAAAAAACTTGCAAATTTTGTTACTTTTTAAAAAATAAAATTTGACTGTTATTCTATAATTATTGGTTGAAATTACTATCACTGATAAGCGCCCATCACTTCTAATCTATCATTTAAATATACATTATCTTTACAAAAAAGAAATTAGTAGCTCTAATAATTCTGGATTGAAGAATAGACCTGTATGTGGACTCTACAAGGTCATTTGGAAAATCAAAGGTTCAATCATATAGTGGAGGGGAGACTGAGGTAATAGTGGTGGGGAGACTAACCTTACTACTAGATAGGTTAATTTACCTAGGCTACACAATCATTGTAAATTCCTGATTTTCATTATTGGTAAATAGTTTTTTATAGCTCTTGTTTATATTTCTATAAACCTTCTTCAACTATTTTTTTTAAATAGTCAAATGGGCAATACATTTTTTAAAAAAGTGGAAACTTCACAATTTAGGGTAAACGCACCGGTTATGGAGATGACGTCCCGTCATGGACAGGTAGGACTTTAAATATAAATAATAAACTTCTGTGTTGATTTAAAAGTACCAGTTTTTCCAGATTGAAGAACAATGCCCTCTATTGACAACTGTATGAACGAAGTTCCCAAAAGAAAATTTTAAAATACCTATCATTGTTGTCATAGACAGGTCAAAAGTTGTCACGCTAATTGTAAGTGGATACTGTTGGAATATCACAATAGGAAATTTCATCAAACTATTCACTAATTTAATTTTCTAAAAGGTTACATGATGATTTTTCGGAATAAACGGACGATAGATACCTAAATATTTAAATATAATATCAGATCTAGAGTTATTAAACTACAGTAAATATATTCAAGGTTATAAACGTATCTGTGAAATATTTTTATACTTTACTTCTTCTTTCGCACAAGTACTAGGAAATAGTTGTGGGTATTGTTGGAAGGAATATCACAAAGGGAAGATTAATCAAATTATTCATTAATTTAATTTTCTAAAAAGTTACATGACAATTTTTCGGAGTAAACCTTTATACCTAATTATTTAACTATCTTCTTATTTTTCTTTTTTTAGGGAGCCTAAGTTTATACATTTTTCCAAGATTTTTATTGTCTATTGTTATTTTTTCAACTTTAATATTGGATATTATGTCCAAATAGTGTGTGCCCAAGTGTTTTGTATCTGTTTTGTAGTTTACTGTTCTATTATTATTTTTTGTTATGAATATGGCTTCTAGTAGTTTCCTATTGTTTGTTTTTGGTTCTATTGCTAATATTTGTGGGTTTTTGAAGTCAAATGTGTGCAGTGATTTAACACTATGGTCTGCTAGGGCTGTTATATTATTGTTTTTACTATTTTTGCAGTTTGGCGTATGTTGTGATATTCTGGTTTTTAATTTTTTTGATATTTCACCTATATATATTTGTTGACAAAGTTGGCAGTCTAACTTATAAACAACATTTTTCTAGTCCAGTGCTTCTATTTTGTCTTTTGTGTTTGTCAAGTATTTACCTAATGTTTTGTCATTGTATATGCCAAACTGAATCTCCGGTAGGTCATAGTTTATGAATACTTTTTTGATTTGTTTTGTAAGCTGTGGTATGTATGTCATTTTGTTAAAAATTCTTTTATTGTATATTTTGTTTATTTGCGGATTATTGTTTTGGATGTTGTCATTTGTTATGTCTGTCTCCTTGAAAAATTGTGTAATAAATTGTTTATGTTGCCCGATATTATTTATTGGTGTTTTTGGTATTTCTTGTTTTTGTTCCCATTTTTTATGCGTATTTTGTTGTGTGATCTGCTGAACCATAATTTATTTATTAGTTTAATAGGGTAGACATTTTCTGATCGTGTTTTGTATATTTCAGTTTCTATTTTTGAAATGTAAGTTTGATCTGTCAATGTTATTGCTTTGTTTATAAGGTTTCGGGCTGTGTTTATTATTTGGTGTTTAGGGTTGGAGGTGAAATTGAGTATAATTTATTTAGATATATTCCACTAAGATTGGTGGATAATGTTGAATTATCCTTGTAATATTGATCATTGTGTTTGAAATAGTTAAATTTTGTACACAGCTCCACTCCCTCTAGAAAATTTTTTTTATTTTTAATTTTCGTTCTTGTTTTTATATTTTCCCAGTTTTCGTCAACAATTTGTATGCATTCATCAATTTGTAGTCATCTTGTAAATAGAGATTCAGCATCTAAGCTAATCATTTCTGTTTCATTTCTATTTTATTGTAGATTTTTAAGTATTTCTTTTAATTCGATTGAATTTTTTATGTCAAAGTTGTTGTTGTTTAGTTAATTTAAGGCTGGGTTTAGAAATTTGGAGAGTGCTTCATTTGGTCCGTCAATATTATTGATGATAGGTCTCAGTTTGTTATTTTTATGTAGTTTGATTAGTTATTCTTGATGGTGTTAGGTCAGTTGCCAATGGTTTGTTTGTATATGTAATTTAATTTGTAAATTTTTTGTACATAATTATTTATTTTGTTTGTTAGCTCTGTTAAGGGGTTGTTTCTTGTTTTTCTGTAAGTGTTTTTATCAGTTAATAATTCTTCCATTCTATTGTTGTAATCTTCTTTGTACATTATGGCTATCTTTTTTGGTTTGTCTGATTTTATTATTACTATCTCCTTATTTTGTTTTATGAACTGTTTTAGGTTCATGAGGTCTTTGTTTATTAATTTGTTAATTGGTGATATGGTTTTTTTGGGGGGATATGTAATTATTAATTAGTGTGCATATTTTATTTCTAGTGGCATTCATATGGTTCTCTGGCGTGTCTGTGTTATAATATATATGTTTTCCAAGTCAATTATTAGGTTTAAAATATCCTAATCTTTATTTTGAAACCCAAAACTAAAATTTTCGCCTAATGATAATATATTTATTAAATTCCTAGGTATTTCTAACTTAGTGAGATTTTCCACTCTATTTTTTGTGTGGAGGTTGCTATATTTTTGTAGAAACTTTTCAAAGTTGGGAGTATGTGTGTTATAATCAGTTAAAATATTACTATTGTTTATATTTGTTGATTTCAGGGAAGTTATATTGTTGGTTCCATTTCTGATTATTTTTGGCAACATCAGTTTGTTTATTCGGAGTCTTTTATTTTCCTATTAAGTTTTTTGTCAAGTTTGTCTTCCATAATGTTGATATTTTCATCACTATATTTATTCATGTATTGCTTGACGGTGTTGTGGAGGTTATGATCATTCAGTGTTGTTATTTTGTTAATTATTTAATTTATTTTCTTAATTAATTTGTTGTTCAGCCAGTGTTCTTTTTTTATTTCAAGATTTATTATGTTTCTACTTAAGTTTGTGAAAAAATTAATTAAATTATTGTTTACAAGAAATTGGTTATTGAAGAGGTTATATAAGTGTTATAGTTTAAAGAAAATGTGTTGTGGTATTTTGTTATTTTTTATGTTTTGTTTCAGATAATAAATCTTAGACTTATTGCAAGACCAGTTGGTTAGTTTATAAATTGTCTTACTATCCTCTAAATTTGCATGCAATAATAAATTCATTCTTCTTTGTAAGATTTTGAAACTTGTTTTTATATGGTTGTTGCCATTTTCCATATATCTATTTAGTTATCTTCTTATTTTTCTTTTTTTAGGAAGCCTACGTTTATACATTTTTCCAAGGTTAAGGCAAAAAATACTTCCATTTTTCTTCAGTCCTTTTAATTACATCTGTTATATCTTACATTTCGGGACAATTTTCCCCATCATCGGAGTATTCCTATGTTTAGTGAAATTATGCACATTTGAAATGAACTATTTTTACATTATTAATCTACTCCATCTATTGTATAATTATCTAACTTGCTTTTGTGATGTGGCATCAGTTGTCAAAAATTTAATAATTGTCATATCCATTTAATATTTTTTTGGGTGTTACACATTCATTTCTTGTTCATTATTTCACCAACCAACATCTGGCTATCTCCAGTTTCATTGCTTTACTTTACACCTGTTCTCTTATTCCTTATTATTGCTGTTTGTTGTGTTTTTATTGTCTATTGTCTATTTTAATAATGTAAAAGTGTAACCCTCCCCTCTGAAACTTCTTTATCCTGAGACCTCAACGAGAAATAGCCGGCAGATCATATGGTAACAGACACGGAAACAGTCATATGGACTTAAGACTAGGAATGTGAAACATTTTAACTTTATATTGACCAGGTAGGCTTCAAGTCCTCTTTTCAGAACTGGACAAATACAGACTTGACATTACCGCTATTCAAGAGATCCGTTGGAGCGGCCACGGGCTGTTGGAGAATATAAAATAATTAATCATTTCACAGTTAACTCTGATATAAAAAATAGTTAAATATAAAATATGAAAGAATTTGATAATTAAATACAGGAGAAATAAGGGATCTTAAGGATGAATATTTGTAACAGAGGGACCAAAGGAATACAAGCTTACCCGAAAGATTAGAACAGGTTTCCGTACGTAACATGAGCCTAATATAATACGGATTCCGACAATATTATATACATAAACATAAGCAGTTTTCTTAAATTCTATTGTTTGTATTATTATTTATTTGTATAGGTTACAGCAATATAAAATTTCTTCTTTATCAGTGACACTCTTACTCCATAAACCATACATTTGACTGATAAATCTTCAATCCTAGCCTCTGTTCCTAACCATGACAAACGACTCATCTCTGAAACCCTCCATATCGAGCTTCTTCCAAAGACAGTAAATCTAAAAGCGGAAAAACAGAACTTATCTTTGTCCTATTCCCGAATTCTGAATTTATTAAAACATCCATAGTAGCTCTTCATTATCTCCTCGATATTCTTCCTCGCAGTTACTTCCTCCTTTTTCTATGGCAACTCATTTTCCATTAATTTAATTTTTGTTTTCTTTCATCTCCTGTTTTACGTTTATTTCAATCATATTCCTTAATTATTTTTGATTTCTGCACTATACTATCCCCAGATACTCTATTTCAATTCAATTACACATTTATTTAGTAAGCACTATAGTTTATATTTTATCCATAATAAACCTCTCAACCAATGCTTTAGTTCATGGATTTTTATTAACTGTTACGAAGGGCGTAAGTTCTGCTGTACCTGCGGGAAACTCTCGTGAGTCCAAGTTGGTCTTCTTCTTTTATCTCAGTATTCTCCTCATTTCTCTTTTATTTTTCTTTACTTTCTTTTTCATATCCCTGAATATATTTTACATTTACTCATTACATCTTATTTTAATAATTTACATAATTTTTACTTTTTATTTCTCTTTTATGTAGTCAGTGTGTTTTGGTAGATTTTATAGTATCTTAATTTTTCTATTTAAATCTATTATAACTTCATATGTTCGGTACATTATTATTATTATTTTAATAAGTTTATAGTTTCTCATACCTATTGTTATCTCATCTTTTCTTAGCCCTGATAAAGGCCTGAACTTTGGGCCGAAACATCAGCAAATATAAAAATAAATATAATTTATTTATTTTTACTTTGTTATTTTGACTGAACACTCCAACCAACTTTTCTTCAATTATTCACTACAGTCAACCATCAATCCACTATTACAAATAATTAATTGAAGTATACAGTTGTATAAGGAAAAAACTAGTGTCAAACAAAATAAATATAATACATTAGACAGCTATGAAAAAAATATAGCAATTAATTGTTTTAAATAATGTTTCATACCGTCTATAATTTTTGCTTTCACTTCCCTTTGTCTGAAAATGCTTATTTCTGCTAAGAGGGTGGTAAGTGAAAGTTGTGCGCACCACACCAGGTTTTTAGTGCAAATTTTATGAATATTCCAAAAATCCTTGCAAAATTTTCATCACATATCAATTTTTTTGTGCAGGCTCTTGGACTATTAGAAAACTCATGAAATTTGAAGCTAGCACAAAAAAAAAGTCAACATTTTTAATTTTTCTTCACTCATATTACGAAGCTAGAAAAACAAAAAAACATAATATATACTAAATATAAACATCGGCAAAAATTAAATAATTATACTTGTTTAATTTAGTATTAATTTGACCGCACCCCCCTATCAACTCCTTCTCATAAATATAATATAATTGATTAATGATGAATGAATGCATTCCAATATTTGTTATGACCTTACATCTTACATATTAATACTTTTATTTTTATTATAGCATGATATGAATAAGAGAAGATCATTACCGGCAGATTTACATCTTCCTCAAGGTTATATTGGTAAGTATGGAGAAGAACAAACTTTGACTAGAGCATCCCGTCGGCAGTCAATGTCAGAAATAGGCTTTGGACGTATGGAAACCTATACTAAACTGGATAAATTAGGACAGGTTTAAAAAATTGTTTTTATTTTATTTATTTAAATTTTATATTCATACAGATTCATATTCATGAGCGGTACTTATTCATTGTACAATGTTACTAACTACTAAATGTTTCTAGTAACATTTTAAAACTTCAATGAAAGGAAATGTTAAAAAAACTAGTAATTGTGTGTGCTATGACATTGTGTTATATAAAAAGTGTTACTAATATTGTTATTCTAATTTACAAAATGCTAACCTTTTGCTAACAACAATGCTACTGGTAACATTTTCGTGTAAAATCTTCTTGAAGGTCTACCTTAATGATGAAAGTGGAATTTTGTATTATTGTGTATGTCAGAAACAGTTAATAGCCCTTAATACTTAACTTAATAACTTGTTCATTTATAGGCTTCGCAGGGGACTGGTTTTGTTATCAGAAATTTTCTAGTGTCCTACAATACTTGCTTTATCTTATTTTTAGAACGGATCAGGGCAACTTACCTTACTTTGTGTATCTAATCTTACTCTATTACCTAGCCAGTTTAGAAAAGAAATATTGTATTTGGCAGTTAGCTATTTTACAATATATAATGTATAATGAGTACAATATTGAAACAGTTTTAACTGACCTACTTAGCAAAGGGGCTAAACTTTTTTTTTTTGTGTGAGAAACTTGATATTTGTTTTTCGATCCTCAAAAAATTCTTAAATAGAAATTTATGTAGCAGTAGCAGTTGGAAAATAACAATTATTTTCTCAATTTTCACCTACCCTTTGTTGGCCCCCCTCACTTTTATTGTTTCAAACTTAAAAAAAATTGTGATAACTTCAACACGAGTCCACTGATCTAACAAAAGTTTGGAGGGGTTTAGGGCCTTATACATAAAATGGCACAAACCTGACTTCCATAAGCAAATTAGAAGCAAAGATATTTGATGAAAATGTTAAACATTTTTTTTTTTATTCCTAGTTTATAAATCCATAAAATCTGGAAGTTATTGATATGTTTTGAAAGAGCATTAATTAACCTTTCCACTTCTTTGTAACTATAATAAGACAGCTATCATATCATTGTATTGATGCCATGAGCTCAACTGATGGATAAACCTCATGGTATAACGTATTGTGTGAACCAAGCCTTACTATTCTTTTTTCAGCAATGAAAAATGTTGAAAAAATAAAATAAAAAAGTGAATGAAACTATTAAAGCAATCATTATTAGTTAATACCTCTACCATTATGAATCCCAACCATATATGTTGGTTAAATTCCTACTAGTTGGTTGTTGATTTAGTCATCTAATTAATAATTGTACTAACAATAACAGTTTACTTAATTTTAAAGCATAACCCCTAAACCTACTTACTATAATTTTCTTTTTGTAGAAAAAGTAAAAGAACAAGATTTTTTTTTTAACTACAACTAATACTATTTTGAATGAATACAAATATTGAATGAACAAGATGTTAAAACGTCACTTATCCTGAATCAATGTAAATTCTCCTGCATTAGTTATATAATTTTTATTAGCATATTTTATTTAATTAATTGCCCATTGTATGTATAAACTTTATAATTATTACTATATTGTCTTATTTCACTTTTGTTCATGTATAATCTGTTCCCTAGGGTACATATGCTACAGTTTTTAAAGGTAAATCCAGACTAACAGACAATCTTGTTGCCCTTAAAGAAATTCGTTTGGAACATGAGGAAGGTGCTCCTTGTACTGCTATCAGAGAAGTTTCCTTACTCAAGGAGTTACGCCATGCTAATATTGGTAAGTACATTCATATAATTGTTATCAAAAAAGATATAATTTGTGAGTATACTTATTTCATGTTGTCATGAAGTTATAATACCTATGTATATTATTAATTTCAATTACTGGTGCTTTTCTGCACATAGCACAAGCTTTCAACTGGTTGTGGCAGATTTTTAGTAATATAAGTAGATTCCAATAACTTACGTTTATAGCTGTTTTTCTCACTGCTTACAATTTTAGTATTCTTGAAGTCTTGTGTCTCCGTTAGGTGCTTTGTGTTGAAAATCCTGTGCAAGTGGTATATTTTTTAATTTTTGGAATTGCAATTACTTTTATGTTGATTGATTCTGTTTTTAAAGTTTTGTTTGGTTTGCCCTATGTAACATGTGATCTTCTTATTTTCATTGGTACTATTTTGACAGTCTTTACAATTTATTTCACATATGATGTCTGTTTTATAAACTTTGTTTATTTTATCTTTATTATTAGTGTAAATGTTCTGGATTTTGTTTGTTGGTTTTCTGCTGAACTTTGAATCTGACAAACCATATCTTTTGAAAGTGATAGTTATTTCGTCTGTGAGACTATTAATTTGTGTTGGAGTGTAAAATTTTGTGTTTATGTGTTGGTATTTATTATTTATGTGTTGTTAACTGCTTCATCTTGTGTATCTTCCTTGCCGCTTCTCTCTCATTCGTCTCTTCCACCGCCTGCTAACATATTTCCTGGCTCTCCCTAGCCACTTCTCCTATAGGGGGTGTCTATCTGCTCATTTTGGGTAAAAAAGAGTGCAGACCAGGGCTTACACTTTGAATGCTTAGATAAGATTCACCAGAATCTGCAGGAATTTTTTTGTTTCAATCTTCTGCCAATAGATGGTGCTTTCACAATGGCTAGCTGATGGTGCTACTGTTCTGCCTTATTTCAAATATAAACGTAAAACCAAGACAATTAATGAATATGGCCTTAACAGAGATTATTGGATTCTGGTAGGGATAGATTACAGAGTATTTTCCATTTGGATTTGAAGTTGGGAGCATTGGACAGAGCATTATGGAAGTAGAGTGACTTTAGCAAGTTGGACTGCGGATTGAGTTCCATTGCAAAGCTCCTTGAAAGAAGCATAATCCACAGGCAAACAGGCTCGACGGTATTTCCGCCTTGTTCATCTCTTCTTTTTATCTTTTCCTTTATTTCGCTGGTCAGCCAAGGTGCAGTGGGATGACGTAAGGTTCTGGTTTTCAGAGGAGCATGAATGTCTAATATGGATTGGATGTTTGTGGTCAGGGTGGATACCATAGGATCAATGGAGTTATAGGAATACATGGTGTCCCATTGTGAAGGATTAAGGTCAGTAATAAAGTATTTTTCGGAGGATCGTGAAAGCATATTCAGGTTAAAATCAACAGTGATGATAATATTGGTTAACAAGGAAAGATTTAAAGAGGTTGTCGAATGGAACACGAGGAGGGTGGTAGTAAACTATGAGATACAACAGAGGAGAGGAAAATTCAACGAACATGTATTGTATGTGAGGGAAATCATGAGAAGAATATTGTAGGTGGCCTTTATAAGGATTTTGCCCTTAAGACTGTCATGTATATATAATCCGACACCACCTCCCGTGCGATGAGATCTATCGTGATATAGGAACAAGTAATTAGGTAGGCAAATCTGGGAGGAAGGGATAAAAAGTTTTAGCCAGGTTTCAGATACTGCTATTATGTGGTAAAAATTGTAAAGGAAATATTTCTGGAATTCATTGTAGTGTGCAATAAGGGATTCTGCATTGATGTGACAGGAATTAAGGATATTAGTCATAACTGTAGAGTTGGGAAGTAGAATTTTGGGGAGAAGGATCGAGGATAAAGGATAGAATATAACGTTTTTTTAAACAAAATATTCCGTTTAAAATAATAATAAAATAAAAGTTGAAATTAAAACAATGAATTTCGAGTATTTAAAAATAAATATTCAGTTAAGTATAATTTATAGCATAAGAAAATAAAAATATCCCCTTGTTTTAGATACATTAATAAAGATTGGCAAATAATCAAATAAAGTTCTAAAACCTGAAGATAAAAAAATAAAAATATTTCTGACAAAAAAAAAAAAATTGAATACAAACTCATTTTCAACGTTCAACTGAATATGTTCAGGTCACTCGGTGTTCCGATAATCACCGATGGATATCCATCTGACTGCAGCGAATTTTACCTCCACTAAACCAAACATATTTTATGTTCATCCTCTTCTGTCTGGCTAACTAGTAAAGGTGTTTATTGGTGGACGTCATGGCTTCACTCATGTCATGTGGAGAAATCTCTTTGTTCTTTGCTGCCGCACTAGCTCATCTTTCACCATTTGTCTGACGAATCTTGCAATAATTGGGCCTGGTGTCCCTTCCTGCTTGGGCTTGGGTCTCACGGCATGATCAAGATCGTCCGAACTAAACTTGGTGCCCAGACCTGCTCCGACGCTAAGAATTGTGCTAGTCACAGTTTCACCCGGCTTCTCCGAGATTCCTCTTAGTTCATATAACATAATAGTGCAAGATAACTGTGCTGAAGACCTTTTTTTCTTCCCACTTGTCTTCCTCTCTAGTCCTGTTGCCTTTGACGTTATCTGATGAAAATTTGTATGCCATTTTTTTTTTTTTAATATTCATAGCATTTATATTTAAAAAATGAGAGTCTGTCAGTCGGATCATACTACCTAAGAAAATGGTGGCTAATTTAAAGAATATTAGGCCAGTAACTTGAGGATGAAAACGGAAAATTTAATGCTAAAAACATGGGAGGAAATCTTTTTTTTTTTTTTTTTTATATTTATATAAAAATATCTTAATTTTACTACTTATTTTTATTTCTTATATAACTTCATATTCCTTTTTTCTGTTTTACATTTTATTCTAAGATTACCATTTTAGAACTTATATCACCTTATTTTGATTATGTTTACATTTTACTTCAATTTTTTTTACCTACATTGTTTATGTTTCTCATACCTTGTTATCTGGTTCTTTTCTTAACCCTGATGAAGGCCTGAACTTCAGGTCAAAACGTCGGCAAATGTTAAAATAAATATTATTATTTATTTTGCCTTTTTATTCCTGACTGATCACCCCAACCATCCTTATCTTCATTATTCACTACAGTCAACCATTAACCCACAATTAAATGTATATCTGAGTTAAAACATGGAGGAAAAAAAATTACTAATGCAGAGCACCTAGGAAAAAGCTTTTTATAGCACAAAATGCCAAATTTTTTAATTTTTTCATCTATAACACCTAAGTGGTGTATTGAAGCAAAAAAAAAAACATACTCTTATAGAAATTTAAGAATGTTAAATTGTGCGTCAGACGAGTACCTAAACTTAATAATTTGGTCAAGTGGTATAGTAGTATGGTCAATAACCACGGTCAATGAACGCTAATTTTTACCAACTTTGTCAAAAACTGAGATAAATTACTATAAATGGCCCTGAAATTTGAAAATGGGTTTCCTAAGAGAAAAAAAATCATAAAATAAAATTTGTAGAACATCAAATTCTACATCCACTAAGTACCAACAGTTTTAATATAGGTCAATTATATCTCTCGAATCTACTCTAATTTTTTTAATATAAATATGAATATTCAACAAAATTCTTTCAAAAAATTTTCATCAGATAATGTAAATTTTTTTTGCACCAGTTCTCGGACTATTAGATGATGTGATGGTTGAGCACATTGGAATGAGAGTGCCAGAGTGACCGGTTCAGAATATGAATTCAATTCCCACCTGGGTTAGTTAACATTTATTTTTTGGGAGCCCTGAGAAATGAATCTTGACACTACCTCTCTAGTTAGTACATAGCAGCAATCTATAGGTAGCCATCAGAGGTTGGCAAAAAATACCACAAGGCCCACTTCTGGACTAATCCATCCCCCACTACCAGTACCAGTTATACATTTATTTAATTTTACAATATCCTATATATTTATTTAAAATTTTGTCTTTATTAATTCACGTGTTCTTATGTTTGTTTTAGTGACATTACATGACCTTGTTCATACAGAAAAATCTCTTACTTTAGTTTTTGAATATTTGGAGAAGGACCTGAAACAATATATGGATGATAGGAACAATATTCTTAGTATGAATAATGTAAAGGTAATTATTTGTTTTATCTCAAGGATTTCTATTTATGTATTTATAGTAAAAGGCTTCATTCATGTTCATTATGTATAGAAAATTATTGCTTCTTTTTTGTTAGTTATTTACATAAAATTTAAATATTGGGTTGTCCAGAAAATAATTTAGGATTTTGGTTTAAAAAGAAAGATTTACAACTGTTATTTAACCAAAATAGTCTCCAATACTATCAATACAATACTGCCAACATGTTGGTAACTTTTCCATTTCCTTGGAATAGAATTTTCCATCTTTAGAAGTGATAAACTCCAAAAATGCATTTTCTAATTTCCTTTCTCCATTAAATTTGTTGTCACTTAAGAAAGGTCCAAGAACTTAAATACTGCCACTATTAATAGAGAATTTTATTATAGACGGCCTGACGCATGTTTAACTAAGGCTAACGCATGCGTAGAACTCATTTAATACTAATAGGATCAATTAGTTCGCAGTGCTTAGGGTCAGTGATATGATCACATCCATCGTGGAAGTAAGTTACAAAAATGTTTGTGTTTAAAATCCCATAATTGTTACTCACCTTTTACGTTATAATCTACAAGGAACAAATTTTGTTCCTTGTCTGTCTGTAGTCAAATACTTGTGATGAGTAGAGATCAGATTTTCGTGCTACAAAATGTGCAAAATCATGCAGTAAAAACCCAAAATATGTAAAATTGTCTAATTTACACCTAAAAACTTGAAAAATCATTTATTTTGTTTAATTTATAATATTAATATATCAAACCTTATGTTAAGCTTCTGTATTTAAATATTCTCACAAAAAAAAAAATTAAAATGCAACATTGAAAATTAAAATCCATATTATAATCAACTAATGACAACAATACATAATCTAATACAACAATAAATTACGATAAACCTAAATCTTAAAGAAAGAGGAATTTAAAAAAAAAAAATAACAATTAACAGAAAATTTAAAGATAATTCACACAACAAATACAAAAAGTTCTCAATAATTAACCGACAAATAATTAAATATGTTTGTTTAAATTTTCCTTAAAATGGTTAATTGACTGGCACATACAATGAAGTAATGTAGAGGAACTTAAAAAGATTAAAGGTATGAAGGATAAGTATTTATTATATGTACCATACCAATTTCAGATATTTAGTTTTAATTAAAAAAATATATATACATACACAATTATAAATTGTCCACATTATAATAAAAACTTTATTTTTTAATCGAGTTGAAATTTACAATGTTATACACTTCGAAATTTGTTTAAATTTATGAAATATCAAACCAAAACGTTATATCACTTATATGTTTTAACATAAACATAAATGTTTAAATTTAAAAGTGTTTTTATTTTCTTAATTGTAAACTGATTTAAAATTTCAGATCTAGAAACACGTCCCCAAACCATTAAGAAGCCACCTCTGTGTTTTACTGTTGGTTGCAAACATTCATCCAAAAATTCCACTTTTGATCATTTTTAACTTATTGCCTCCTTCCAAAACCAAACTTTAATTATTTTTTTCTTTCCTCCATTTTATTTTTGCATGCTTATGTGAATAGTAAGTTGAAAAGGATTTGACAGCAGACTGTGGAAATTAGGGTCTTAGTCCACTCTACTTTTGTTTGCTGTAAGCATATCCTATCTATTTCCTATGTGAAGTGGCTGTCACAAACACCTGTAGCAAATATATCGCACTAACAGGCAATGTGACAGGCTGTTTTATCCTCATGTCGGAATTTGCACTGAGGTGACCCTGCTTAAGTTAAAACATATCAAATTAAATTAATAGTTTGCTGTTTTTTTGTTGTGAATGCCCTTCTGCAATTCAGCAATTAATTTCTTCTTCTTGCACAGGAACCATTTTTAGTATCTCCAGTTTAAAATGCATTCCAATGTTCTTTGGCTTTAGCAACATCGGACTGAAGCCGTTCCCCTCCCCCCCTCCCCCCAAAAGAAAATAGTAAAATATAACTATGTCTTATGAAAAAAGTATATCTAAAAGTATTATTTTTCGTGTACTTACATTTAGTTGGACTTCAAGAATCACTTAAACACCATTACATAAAGGTAGTTAGTTTCTTTCTTTTTGTTCCAATGCTAAAGGTCCTAGGTTCGAACCCTGGCTTATCACAGAAAATTTATTTATCTGTTTCATTAGCCATGGGCAACCATGGGTCGGTAGACCCTCCTGGGGCACACCCAGCCTCTATAAAATGGGTACCCTTAATTAAAATAATTGATTTAAGAGGGAAAACATGGCGGCTGAGCGGGATCTTGGTCAAATCACCTCCTTGCACAACTGTTGGCCTAGAAACAGTGCTTTCCCCCCCGGTCCTCGCCTTTAGGGCTATATATAGCATTTCCAAGTCAATTTCAACCTTTTCCAAGTCAAATTCAACCTTTTCCAAATCAAATTAAACTTTTTCCAAGTCAAATTCAACCTTTTCCATTTCAAATTCAACCTTTTTTTTTTATTTAATTATCTTTAATTTTTCGATGTGTGGGTCTGTTATCGTATGAGTAGTTTTTGAAAATAACCTCCTTTTTAAGATTACGTGACTGAGTTTCGAATTATTTAAGTTTTTTTGAATTATTCGATATAAGGGTGTATTTTTATGTTTCTTGATCAGTAAATTTTGAAAATGACATCCATTTTATGTTTACGCCACTGTGTTTTAATTTATTCAAGTTTTTAGAATTTATCCAATATAAAGGTCTACTTTTATGTTTCTGGAGCCGTAGATTTTGAAAACGACCTCCATTTTAAGATTAGACCACCGCGTTTCGACTTATTTGAGTTTTTCGGATATTTTTCATATGAGGGTGTATTTTTATGTTTCCGGGACTGTAGATTTTGAAAATGACCTCCATTTTAAGATAGCCCACCGTGTTTCGACTTATTTGAGTTTTTCAAATATTTTTGATATGAGGGTGTATTTTTATGTTTCTGGAGCTGTAGATATTGAAAATGACCTCCATTTTAAGATTAGGCCAGCGTGTGTCGACTTATTTGAGTTTTTCGATATTTTTGATATGAGGGTGTATTTTTATGTTTCCGGAGCTGTAGATTTTGAAAATGACCTCCATTTTATGATTACGCCGCTGCGGTTTGACTTATTTAAGTTTTTCGAATTTATCCAATATTAAGGTCTACTTTTATGTTTCTTGAGCCGTAGATTTTGAAAATAACCTCCATTTCATGATTACGCCATTGCCTTTTGGCTTATTTAAGTTTTTCGAATTTATCCAATTTAAAGGTCTACTTTTATGTTTTTAGAATTTAACAAGTATAAAGGTCTAATTTTATGTTTCTGGAGCAGTAGATTTCCCCCATTTTGTAAATGACCCAATTTCAAGTTTATGCCACTGTGTTTTGGATTATAAAAGTTTTTTTTTTTTTTACTTTTTCGGTATAAGGATCTACTTATATGTTATCCGAGACGTATTGAAATTTTTCTAATCTTTAATATTTAAATTTATCTAATATTTAAGCTCCATTTTATGATTAAGCCGCTGCATCTCGAATAATTAGGCTTCATTTTGGATTTTTTCAATACAAAGTTTCATCAATATGTTTTCGAGTATGAATAAATAATTAAATATTATGAAGCTAAAGTTAAATTAACCACAGAATACAAACTAAAAAGCCGAAAAGCAGCTGGTAATAAATTTAACCTTCCGTATTCAGATTTTTCAGCTAATTGTTCGAAATCTTATAATTTTGTGACAGGAGACCACAACATTAAAAAAGATAACTAAAATTAAATTAAAAATGAGACAATACATATTTTATTTATTTTGATTAGATATTTTTATTTATTTATTGAAAAATAAATTAATCCTTCGTATTTTGTTTTTTATTCGAAGGAAAAATCAAAAACACTTTAAAAAACCGACACACAGTGGCCTAATCTTAAAATGTAAGTCGTTTTAAAAACTAAGGCTCTGGCATCATAAAAGTAGACCTTTAAATTGGATTAATTCGAAAAACTTGAATAAGCCGAAACGCAGTGACGTAATCTTAAAATGGAGGTCATTTTCAAAATCTACGACTCCGGAAACATAAGAACACACTCTTTTATGATAAAAATTCGAAACACTTAAAGAAATCGAAATGCGGTGGCCTAATCTTAAAATGGAGGTCGTTTTCAAAATCTACGGCTCCGGAAACATAAGAATACATCCTCATATGAAAAAAATCCGAAAAACTCAAAGAAATCGAAACGCGGTGGCCTAATCTTAAAATGGAGGTCATTTTCAAAATCTACAGCCCCGGAAACATAAAATTACACCCTCATATGAAAAATATCCGAAAAACTCAAATAAGTCGAAACACAGTGGCGTAAACGTAACATGGATGTCATTTTCAAAAGTTACTGATCGGGAAACATAAAAATACACCCTTATATCGAATAAGTCAAAAAAACTTAAATGATTCGAAACGCAGTCACTTAATCTTAAAATGGGGGATATTTTCAAAACTATGTACAGGACAGCATAATACTAGTCCCTAATAAATCCGAATAGGTACAATAAATCGATATCCGTAAGTGAAAATTCTACTTAGGAGAGCATAATAATAGACTTTCGTATTGGAGGGGGGGAGGGGATGGCCATTATTTAAAAAAAAAATAGAAGATTTACAAAAAATTAAAACATTAATTTGAAATGAAAACTGTTGAATTTGAATTGGAAAAGGTTTAATTTGAAATGGAAATGGTTGAATTTGACTTGGAAAAAGTTTAATTTGATCTGGAAAAGGTTGAATTTGACTTGGAAAAGGTTGAATTTGACTTGGAAATGACATAGAAATATCACACTGAAAAAATCCAAAATGTTAAAATAAATGGATATGCAACCGCGTTATCAAAATTTTTTTTGTATTTTTCAAAAGCTATGCCTTTGATAATATAGTAAGTGGCCTTCATTTCGAAAAAAATCGAAAATTGACAAAAATTCGAAAGTTGAATTTGAAATGGAAAAGGTTGAATTTGACTTGGAAAAAGTTGAATTTGAAATGGAAAAGGTTTAATTTGACTTTGAAAAGGTTGAATTTGATTTGGAAAAGGTTGAAATTGACTTGGAAATGCTATATACTGCTCCACCACTTTAGCGCTATCAAAAGGTTGAGGATAGCTTTAAGTTTTATCTTTCTTTTTAAATTTTTTTTATTTTACTTATTGTAATAATTTTAATTTGTTCTGTTAATCTCTTTTAAAAAATTTAATATTTCAGATATTTTTGTTTCAACTTCTTCGTGGTCTTGCATACTGTCATAGTCGAAGAATCCTTCATAGAGATTTAAAACCACAAAATTTGCTCATTAATGAAAAGGGTGAACTTAAGGTAATCTTTAAAAACAAATATTAATTTCTTCTGAAAAATAATTATTTTCTTTTTATACTTATTTTTAATACATTTAAGCATATTATCTAGTAATTAAGTTTATCTTAATTATTCTAATATAATTTTTTGTTCTTAGTATAACAATATTCTTGTTAAAGTGGCTCTTGTTCTTTATTTTAAATATTAATTAAATCATATACTAGTTCTAAAGGGACTTAGTCCCAGAATAAAGTTTAATTTTCTATTCTATTCTATACTGATTTTTTTTTTTTAATTTTGTATTTTCACTCTTCTCTTTTTCCAACTTTCTGCTCGGTTTCATTCTGTAGCCGTGATGCTCTTAATCATCCACTGCCACCAGCCCTCAACAGCTATCCATGATATTCATTGAAATCCTTATATTTGTTTTGCTGAATATTGTACAGAAAAAGCTAACTCAGATCTTATTTTAAAAAATCATTTTCCCAGTTGTTTAGCAGTGATGGTGGAATCCACACCATTTTCGATAGTATAACCAGTTAGAATTAGTTAGTGGTTATTAAAGGGCTTATATCTACTCAATTTTTTGCAGTAGACACAAAGTTGTATTATGTCTTATGAAAATTGCCATATCCATTCAGAAGTGATGTCAGTTGCTAAAGCTTATTGTTTTGGTTTGCTTTTCTCATTCTGTGAGAAACATTTTAGCCTATCCTTCCTGACTTACTTATAAAGCCTATACACATTAATTTTCATCTCTGAGATTATGTGAAGCATTTTCTCTTGAGGAATTGGGTAAATGTTTAATGAAGCTGGAAATCAACAGATGGTTATATGTGTTATGTTTATTGTAGGGTTAGTTTCAGTTATTTATGTTTTTTCTATACCTTTATTTATTAATTTATTTTTGTATTAACCATTGTATTAAGTAAGTAGGTTGGTTTCCAATTGCTTAATCAATGTTTTTCTCAATTTATATTTTCAGTTAGCAGATTTTGGATTAGCCAGAGCTAAATCGGTTCCTACCAAAACCTACTCCAATGAAGTTGTTACACTTTGGTATAGACCACCTGATGTTCTCATGGGTTCTACTGAATATTCTACTCAAATTGATATGTGGTAATAAATTAAATATTAAATTATTTGAATTATTTTTGTTTGTTTTAACATCCATTTTATTTTTTTTATTTTATTTTTTTTTACTGGATTTTCCCGGGCCGGGGGATGAGGGCGGGGAATTAAAATCCACTCCGGCACCGGGTCGCGAACTCGTATTTTTAAAATCTTCTCAAATCTGTAATCCGGTTGCCAGGTAACTCGCGGTGCTGTGCACACGCTTTAACCCATTCGGCTACTGACCTATGTTTGCAGATAAGCCTTTCTATGCGAAGAAAGGTCTTTAACGTGAGAATAACAATCGTAAAACGGGTTAGATACCTTTTGGATATTACTCAACTACTAAGAATCAGGACGATGTAGTGCACAACCAAATATCCGCCAAAGACACTTAAAGATTTGTTCCATAGTACATTTCGGATTTCGAGAATTTGTAGGATGTTTTATTTTGATCTCGTGTTTTCCCTTCATTTCCTCGCACCCAACATTGTTTAAATAAGAACATTGTTCAGTAGAAGGGGCTTGGTATAAGGTAAATTATATGCACTCTACAAACAGAAATGTTATTTCTTGAAACTGGATGGCAGCGGCATAGAATTTTATGTTACTTTGAGTTGTAAATTTTATTGTCATAATTTTTCTGTTTTTTCTTTGTGTTCTAATAAAGTGGTTAAAAAGGATTATTTACTTATTTGTTTCAATACAAGCGATAGGTGAAAATTAGACCTAAAACGTAATGCAAGACACAGATTAGAGCTTATGGGGAGAAATGCCAAAATAAGAAAATAGGCAAAATGATGAGAGGAGAAATGAGAGAAGGAACCACAGGATTAGATCTCAGGCTACTAGAGATAGCCCTTCTCCCCCTCAAATTCACTAAATGTCTTTCTTTAATACAGTTGCAAACATCATTAAGAAATAATAAAAAATTAAATAATACTATTTCAGTGGGTGGGGTGGCCGAACGGGCTAACGTGTGTGCACAGCACTGCCATTGCCTGGCAAGCTGATATATGATACAATGATAGAATATAGTTACGAGTTCGCGTCCTGGTGGCGGGGGCGTCTTTTAAATCCCTGCCCACACTCCCTGGCCTGGGAAAACCCCGTATAGCCTTAAAGGTGAGGAAGGGGAGGACCCAAAAAAAAAGATTCACAGAAAAGGGCGTGGAGAAAAGAAGGGATATGAATGCCTGCCAAGCCTAACCTCATCAAGCTACCCTAAAAAAATAATAGCTGCCAGGAACAAGACTAAATAAAAGAATTTCTCAAAAAAATAATGTAAACCATTGAAGGCAACTGGCAGGCTAGAAATATATGCGAATTTTACATTCAAAATAAGGATAGAAGGGATGATATAAAGTGAGAAATATGTGAATGAGAGGAAAATATCATACCAAAAGATGAGATACTAAAGCATCGGTAAAATTTTCAGCAGCTGCTCAATCAAGGGAAACCCATAAATACACAATAAATGGGCCACACCAAGGACCACAATATAGAAGAGATTGATATTTTGGATGTGGAAATATCTACAAGTATAAAAGATGGACCCAGGAATGGATGCTAACCTTCAAAGGTGTTCAAAGATCGGGAAGAACACATAAGAGTGAAGCTATTATAACTAACCTAGAAAATATTGGAAGACAAAAGGATACAAAAAGCTCAGTGATTATAGAGGCGAAATACTTCTTCCGGTGCCATATCCATACTATGAAATTATACTCCTGCTGATGCTATTCATCTTTGTTACAGAAAATGTGTGATGAACATCACATGAAAATGGAGGAGTGGATGAATCATAAAATCCTGATCTCTTGCTATATATTATATCTCTCAATATAAATGAAAATTGAAATTAATATTAAAAGGTACTGAAATAACTACTTCTAGGATTTAGCCTAGCCCACTAGTTGACTTTTCCTATTTCCTTAACCTTTTTGTTGCTGCGAGTGACAAGCTTTATGTCTACTACAGTGCTAAGTAAGCCGGCTAGCCGTCTTCCAGCGAGAAAGCACGTCTTCCAGCTGATGATACCATATTAGATGTTGATATCGCTGGTGGGTCTATGTCGAGGATTTGACTTATGAGGAGCCAGAGTGGAGAATGCTAAGTTGAACTATCTAGGCAGGCTAACAAGTGCTGTCTGATGAGCTCTCATGCCAGGCTTTTTCTGAAAGATAGCCTATTTTTTACTTTTAGCTTGTTATTACTGTTGGACCAATTCAACAATATTAGAGAATGCACACCAGCAATGTCCAATAGATTATAAAACAGACAACTAAACAGTGACATAGTGGTCCAAAATGTCCACTCCACCTTTGATTATATTACATAATTCTATAATTTCTGGAAGGACTAACAGTAGGTTTATCTCAGTCAGTGTTTATATATTAAAAAAACAACAAAGTTTTAGTAAAAATGGTAGTTACCCTCAAACTACAATGGGGTACCTGTGTATCCAACCCAAGTTTTTCAATTATCAGAGACAGCAGTTAGCTATAAAGCACAGTCATGTATAACCATTTGATATAGGAAACTGCAGAAACCCCCATCCTCCGGGAATAACCTCTGTGAGTAATATGGAAATAATTTGTGACTTGGGGTACACCTGTATCCCTGTGTAGTGTTCCAGGGTTAATAGATAACGAAGATGCTGACTGCAATACGTAGAGTGATTGCATATATATATAAACCAGGTAACATGAGACCTGACTTCTCCCAGTTGTCAGCGAGAACTGAAGAAGAATAAATAAACCATATTATTGATTAGTAAATAAGTTTAATATTTCTTAAAATTAAGTTATATTTCAAAGTTAACAATCTCTTATTACTTAAAGTAATGTATTCTTATGTTTGTAGGGGTGTTGGCTGTATCTTTTTTGAGATGGCATCAGGTCGTCCTTTGTTTCCTGGCTCAACCGTTGAGGAAGAATTGAATTTAATTACTAGAATCTTAGGTCCACTTAACTCACCTTTTCCCTCAGAATCAGTTCATGAAACTTTGATTTCTCGAGCTCCTAGGCTTCAACAAGATGGCATATGTCTTCTTAAATCATTTTTAGTGGTAATTAGTTTCATTATGTATTGTAATTTTATTTTTACCAAATTTTTAATCTTATAATGTAAAATTCATGAGTGCTCAAAGAAGTATGTATTGGGTGTCCTGTAAATTATTGTAGAAATTTAAAGAAGAAACCTCAACAGCTACAAAACATCAAGCAAAACAAATGTTTAGGTAAATAGTAGGGAATAACTAAAAACCTATTTAAGTTGAGTCATTACCAAGTGTAGCATAAAAACTTAATAATTTTTTCTTGAAAACTTATAGAATTAATCTCTGTTATACCATTTTAAGGGGGCTTTCAAGCAGCTTTTTTAACCCTTTAGAGAAGCAGAATCATCGTCAGGTCCCGTGTGCACGGGTACTTTCCGGAGCCAATATATTGGCTTTGCGCAACTAAAGGGTTAAAAAAAATTTTTGTTTTCCAGCTTGCCATGCATTATAGGCATTGGGATAATAAATAGGAGATATGTGTATGCTACTTATGCTAATAAAATTAATTATTCATTATAGAATCTTTATACATTTCTTTAATTATGGGAAGAAATTAAGGCTTTAATGTTGACCTGTGAACAGGGCTGTCTGGAGTTCATCACTTTTTCTTATCTTTCCTCCTCATTCAAGATAAATTTAATAGACGGTGGGTCAGCCCCCCCCCCCCCCTACCGTGCAATCCCCTCTCCACATCTCTATAAATTGTGTTCCTTGTAACTATTATAAAAAGAAACCCCAAAATGGCGTCCAAAGATGGCGGATTGATGACTTTGACTTGAGTTAGTCTTTTGGTCACTGAGAATCAGCATTTGATTTAATTTTATCATAATTGGCCTTTTATTAAAGCTTAATAGTCAGGGAATAATCAAACATGAAACAATATTAAAAAATAAGTGGTTTAGCCAATAAAAAAACACCAGTAAAGTCACGTTTTTCAACAAAACAAAATTTCAAGTTGATAATTAAGCGTCGTTTGTGATTAAACGGTCAACAATGATGAAAAACGTCCTGAAATAAAACATCTGGAGAATATATTTCTCTTTCTGAAACACTGATATCTTTTTTAAATATTTGAAGTGGTTTTAAAGAAAATGTACTTAATCACTGGAAAAGTGGTACTGGCATAGGTGCCTACAGGCCTCTGCCACATCATTCAGTACTCATAAATGGTATAGTTATAGTGCTATAATATCGTTTTTGGTACATTATATTGATTGTAATAACGAACAAATATTAATGCAATAATTATACTGTCCTAAAAAAATTTAAACAATTTTTTTTTTACATTACTTCCTGTATTCTATACGGAGGTCGTTTAAGAATGCTTCTATTGTAAAAATGATATAATTATAATAATAAAACTTAATTCAAAATACTTTGTTCCAAATTTTTTATTTAACATTTTGTTTTGTATATTTATTGATTCTTAGAGGTAAGTTAAATTGTATATACTTTCCTGGAAATAATCTATATTAATACCTGTTTTATAAACTAAAATACAATTAATCTAAATTACATATAATGAGTAGTTGCTGGGTAGTTTAATAAAACTCATATGTCTCTAATAAAAAATTAATTTTATTTTTTTATTTCCTTTATTTTGTTGGGAGGTAGGGCCACACCATAAAAAAATACAGGGAATTTTAATATTGAATGCTTTATTCTCTTTGCACAAAGAAAGATGGAAAGGGCAGTGTATGTTCTTCTTGGTAACCAGAACTAATTGTTAGTATTTGGTATCAAAATGAGAAAAACGCTAAATTAAACCCAAAAATTGGAAAAATACATTAAGGGAACGAGAATAAAATGGCCAAAATCTAAGACTGATGAACAGAATATTTCATGGAGCTGCTTAAAGGGGTTCAAGTGCTGTGACAGTTTGGATGATATTAAGCAGACGATAGAGGACTATTATGGTAAAGACATTGTTAGCCGTTTAATTACAAATGACACTTGATTATCAACTTGAAATTTTGTTTTGTTTTAAAAATTGATGTTACGAGTGCTTTTTATTGGCTAAACCAATTATTTTTTAATATTGTTTCATGTTTTATTATTCTCTGGCTATTCAGCTTTAATAAAAGGCCAATTATGATGAAATTAAATCAAATGCTGATTCTCAGTGATCAAAAAATTAACTCAAGTCAAAGTCATCAGTCCGCCATTTTGGGGCAGTGCGTTCACTTTTTTTCATGGGACATTGGCCTTTTTATAATAATTAGTTACAAGGAACACAACGATATGCAATTTATAGTGATGTGGGGGAGGGGGGGGGGCCCCACAGACTATAAGCGGTTGCAGTTTGGCTAAGGTTCTTCTCTTCCCAGGGAGAATTGGTGAATAAATTAAGGCCTCATAAGACAGGCAGTTTTTTTCTAATCCTTAGCTGAGAGAACATTCTTTCAAATGAGGTTTGTTTAAGGACTTTGCCTCTCTATGGCTCAAAGGGAGTGCATTACAAACGTCCTTGTTTAATAAGCTTAAAGTTCATGATAATTAGGTTAAGGTCTGCTGTTACAGATAAGTTCAGATTTGCATCCATTTTTAAATTATATGATGGTTTGCCTCCATTTTTAAATGATGTGGTAATGCCCCTCCTCTAAAACAATTCTTCTTCTTCCATGGCACTACAACGCATGAAGAGTCTTGTCCTCGTCAAGACGTCTCCGCCAAACTATAAAACAATTATGTGATTTAAAATTCTATCTTCTCGAAGTATCAGTGTTTTGAACATCATGAATCCAGGTTTTAGTTTTGTTCAACACTGATCACTTCAAGTTTTTGGTGATATGAGTGTTCTTAAAGCTATTTGATTTCATTGCCCTTAACAGGATTACTGAAATTAATAATTGATATATTCATAAGTGTTATGAAATTATCAATTGTTAAAAACAGGAATACAAATTTAAGGCCAGTATTCCCATTGATGGATTGTATAACAGTTTTCCTTGTTGGCAATCAAATATCTCCAGTAAAACTACTGAATCAATTTCAGCAGTAAGTTTGATTTAGTTTAGTTGCAATCTTTTTTATGGAAGAAAATGTTTTTGATGTTTTATTTCATCCTTCATGTATCATTTTAGTGGAGATAAATCTTGTTTTTTTAAATCTCAGAATTAGCAGTAAATGACTTGCTCAGAAAGGATTTAAAAATGTTTACTAAACAGATTATGAATAAGCCGAAGTCATAGGTCCAAGTTTTAAAAAATTTAATTTTAGACTATTTTAGTGTTATATTGTTTTCAGAGTTCTAGTTCGTATTAAGAACTAGTGATTTGTTTAAATAATTTCAAATTGTTGCTATGTATAAATAGTAGTTTTTAAAGTAATTAAAAAACTATTGTTTAAATATTTTTTGATAACTTTACCATTACTGGTTTTTACTCATATCTTGTCATAACCATCATAACCCGGACATCATGGCCATAATTGATATCTGTAACTTTTTTGTAAAAAAACAAAAACAAAAAATAAAACGATATTTAAGGAAGGAGATGGTCCGGGGTGGCAGTCATAAATAGACTATATAGTGGCAAAACTATTTTATTAAATGTCAACGTTTCGACCCGACTTTGCAGGTCTTCAGAGCTAGAACGGACAAGATACAAAAAGATATAGAGAATTATGGAAATTACATCATATTTAGATAAAAAATTATAACCAATGTGGATAAACTTATTAAAATTATAAACAGTAAGTACATTAAAATATTAAGAACAATAAGTTGTATAAACAGAGTAAGCTAAGTAACAAGATCCTAAAGTGAAGTAAATAGATGGTAACAATTGTTGTAGTATAATAAAATATAATACATGCAATTGTGAATATACTCCTACAGATCTACAGGAGATATTTGTCTTCTCTTTCTCTACATCCCTTTATGTTCATTATTTCCTTTTCTTCCAATCTCTCCTGTAGATCTGTAGGAGTATATTCACAATTGCATATATTATATTTTATTATACTAGAACAATTTTTACCGTCTATTTACTTCAGTTTAGGATCTTGTTACTTAGCTTACTCTGTTTATACAACTTATTGTTCTTAATATTTTAATGTACTTACTGTTTGTAATTTTAATAAGTTTATTTACATTGGTTATATTTTTTTATCTAAATATGATGTAACTTCCATAATTCTCTATATCTTTTTATATCTTGTCCGTTCTAGCCCTGATGACCTGCAAAGTAGGGTCGAAACGTTGACTTCTAATAAAATAGTTTTGCCGCTATTTAGTCTATTTATGATTGCCTCCCCGGACCATCACCTTCCTTAATAATGCAACGGTCAACTATTAATTATTCAGTTAAAAAGATATTTGTTAGGAAGATACAGCATATTTGTCAATTTTATATTCAATTGAACAAACATTTGTAGTTCAAAATATGTAGCCATAAATGTCATCAAGTAGACTATGTTAACAATTTATACACTATTCTGTTCCACTCTTCCTTAATATGACCATAACCCATGATTTACCTTTTAATTAGAGCACGGATTTTTAAGCAGTATAAATTTGATAATGTGTAATAAAAAATGTTCAAACGTTTAAAAACATGCAATATAAGTTTTAAAGCATGCTTTTTACATACTTTCACTACATCATACTAATACCTATTAGTCCGTAGGCCAAACCCCCCTACCGTGCACTTCCTCTCCCACATCCCTATAAATTGCATATTGTTGTGTTCCTAGTAAATATTTATTAAAAAAAGACAATGTCCCCACAAAAAAAGTGAACACACTGTCACAGAATGGCGTCAAAACATGACGGATTGACAACTTTCACTTTAGTTAGTTTTTCAGTCACTGAGATTCAGCAGTTGGCTTAATTTTGTCATTCCTGGCCTTTTATTAAAGCTAGATAGTCAGAGAATAATAAAACATAAAAAAAAATATTTTAAAAAATTGGCCTTGGCAATAAAAATACCAGTAAAGACAATTTAAAAAAAAATTCAGGTTGAAAATCAAGCTTCATTTGTAATTGAACAATAATGAAAAATACCCTTTAGTAAAACATCTATACAATACATTTCTCTTTTTAAATCACTGACTAATTTTTAAAATATTTGAACCTGTTCTTTAGAAAACGCACTTTTTCCACCGATTACGATATCAAAGTTTAAGAAACTTTCGCAAAATTTATTGTGAATTCCCAAAACTCACTGTCACCTTAATACGAAAAACTAGAAAATTGATTAATGAAATCATTAGAAAAAAAAAATCTGGCGTGTGGAACACACAACTTTCACTTACCGCTCAATTTTGAATAGAAATTATTTTCTGATCATGTTGGGCTATTATAAAATTTTTTAATTGCATTTTTAACTGGTCTAAAGCTTAATGCTTACCGCTAACAAATCATAAATACATCACAACAAAAATCCTATTAATTATATCACCAGTTGATTATGGATTGTGCGATTCGTTGATTATGGATTGAACGACTATTAGTTATTAAATGGTTATTTTCCATTGCAAAGTTTACTAAAATGGAATTATGAGATTTGCATTGTCTGTCATAGACAGGTCAAAAATTGTTACATTAATTGTAAGTGGTTACTGTTGGGATATCACTAAGGGAAAATTCATCAGATTATTCACTAATTTAATTTTCTAAAAGGTTACATGATTATTTTTTGGAACAAACAGATGATAGATACCTGATTATTTAAATATAATATCAGATCTAGAATTATTAAACCACAGTAAATGTATTTAAAGTTATAAACATATGCTTAAGAAATGTTTTTATATTTCACTTCTTCTTTCACACAAGTACAATGAAATAGTTTTTAAACAATGTCATTGCCTTGATTTGGTGGATTTTAAATACTTTTTTCAAACTTTAAAAATATTTTAAAAGTTTAAATTTAGTTAGTAAATTTTATTTGATTTCCGTTAAATAATAGTAATAATAGTTTTCAAAAGTTATTATTTATAATTTTCCATCATACTCCATTATTTTCTCCCCTTTCCAACGATATATTATACGTATACATTCTGACTAACATTTTCGGAGATTCATTTTCGACCTGGATAAGCATTTTACTTTTTTTCTCCTTTATTCAATTGTCAAATTCTTTCAAAAGTTATGTTAAGCTTCTTTTCATAACTCTTAACTATAAGAAATAGTTATTTAAAATAAAACAAATTAAAGGTACTTAAGAGGAAGACATGTTGAACATTCGGCATTTAAGCCCTATAAAGTGATATCAATGGGTGTAAGACCTAAATGATATTAAATACCACTTAATTATACAATTATACTCTGAGTTTAATCAAAATCGTTTGAGCCATTTTTGAGAATATTGTAAAAATGTGTATCAGCATTTATATAAAGTGGCACTTCTGGTTAACCAATTTAAGGAAAATGTTGCTCTCACATCTAAGCCATAAACAAACCTTACATATGTAATATCAGTTTTGTACAGCTTTTCATTTTTGAGCTAGATACATACACACACACACACACACCATTTTACGGGACTTGGTTCATCGGACTCAGGGGACCTTAAAACGTGTATTTCCGTTAAAAACTCAGATTCAAAAATTTTCACGATTGCAATACTTTTCCTTAGTATATATTACATATATAGGTTAGTGAAAGTAATAAAGGAAATGTTGGATGAAATAAAACATAAAACTCTGAAAGACAGTGTAATAATAGATATAACAACAGTGTATAACAGATGCAACAGTGTAATAACAGATGCAACAAACTATCAATGGGCTATTAGCATAGTATTTTTCCAACAATAATTTGCAGCATATTCCATTTTTTGACAAATTTATTCTGTATAGATATCTTTTAGAACCTTTGATTGGATTCCGTACGAGCCAAGGTTTTTACAGCTGTAAACAGTTGGGTGGATAACAACAATTATCAATAAAATATCTTCCTTTTTTTTAATGATATTGCTAGGGAAAAGATTTGAATAAGAAATATAAAAAAAATAAATAAAATACACAATTTAATAATACCCTTTACTAATTAATTGCTAACTGGATCTGTATTATAATGTTACTCTAAGCAAAATGTTTATTTATTGATATAATTTCTGTTTTTTATGTTAATATATTGTTTAACAATTTGTATGCATGTGGTGTACTGTAAGCAGTGTATAGTGAGTTGTATTATTTTAATTTATGGTCTATAATGCTATAAATAAATATATAATTTGTATTGTCTATGTATCAAATTGTATCATAATTATTATAATCAAGATTTACTCTCATGACAAAGATGGTGTAATATAGGAAGTTGATGTTTCTTTGTTATGTGAGAGGGGATTTCGGTAAATACAAATGTACTGTGGTTTCTGAAGTTTCTTTTCTTCCTTGTTAAAAATTTATTGAAGTTTTTACAAGATTGAGCTATTGATACTTTCTCATGTGCCCTTATTGATAAATGCCCTCCTGACAAACTTTAGCAAGCTGTACAGCCTTTCCAATAAGGTGGAATTTCAAGTTGTTTCTCTACCATCTTATCATGCTGTATAGCAGAAATTCTCTGATCTCAGTATTCAGTTTAAACACCACTAGTCGGCAGTTATTTCTTCTTTTTAATAACATAATAGTGGGGTTAATTTTATTCTTAATCTCCTCATTCTTACAAAGTTACAAAATATTAGTTATGTTATTATAGGTTATGATGTAATCCATTTGTTTTAGTGATCAGCCATACACATAATAAATATAATTGTTTATTTATTTTATTTTAGTATGAAGCTAAGGATAGAGTTTCTGCTAGTGATGCGATGAAGTTTTCATACTTTAATTCCTTAGGGCCAGAAGTTCACAAGCTTGCTGATAGTAAGTATTCATTTACTAGTAAATAATTTTCATATCTTCTTTCTTAATTTAGAGAAAGAAACTTTAGTTATTTTTATAATTGTTTGTAAATGAAAGCATTCTCTTATTATCAATTTATTGGTAACCAAATGTCAACATTTTGAGACCATGCCTCATTAACATTGGTTAAAAATAAATTTTGAAAAATGAAGTGTTGCATTTATCTACAATTATGAAATTGTCAAATTGCTTGGTATGCTGTAGTACAAATATGAAAAACATTAGAAAGGCCCTTCAAGCTGCACCTGAAATAATGAGAAAAAAATTAATGTTTTCCACCCCTCAGTATAGTGAAATTAGTTGGGTTTTTTAATTCACCCATTCCCACTTTATATCACACTACCTCCTCTCATTTGCCTTTAAGAAAATACCTTTCTTATTTCTGAAGGTCATGATAATAATAAGCCCAGCCATGAAAATTAATTTTTTTCGCTCTGTAAATAGCACTTTTCTCCATTTTTCTTTCCACTTAAGATGGTCTTATGAAAACTTGTTTAGTTTATCCTTATGTACCATACTGAGGAGGGGGGGGGAATACATTTTATTTTCTCTCCTTATTTCAGATACAACTTGAAAAAATACCCTTCTAACTTTTTTTACTTAACTTAAGTATATATGAAAATATAGTAAAGGAAAGTATTGTGATCGTGAAAATTTTCGAATCCCTGTTTTCAACGGAAATACGCCTTTTGAGGTCCCTAAAGTCCTAACAATCAAGTTCCACAAAATGGTGTGTGTATGTCTGTGTTTGTTAACAGTATGGCTTAAAAACGAAAATGTGTACAAAAAGATATAAATACGTGTAAATATAAAATATACAGAGAAAGTAATTAAGCAAACGAAATATCGATGAATTACAAAATAATCAGAGTATCTGGGTGTACTTTGAGGTTTTTACAGCTTAGGTTTTTAAGTGCATTTCATGATCAATCGGATTGGGAATAGAGTAGGTGTTTGAAGAGGAGAGATTTGAAAGAGGATATTAATTTTGCGTGTCGAATATCTGAAGGTATAGAGTTCCAGAGGGAGTCAACTTGTATTAAAAAGGATTTATCAAATGCAGCAGTTCGGTGAGGAGCAGGATAGAGGTCGGACGCACGGGATCTGGTGGGATCCCGGGATTGAAAGGAGTGTTTGAATTGTTGGATCTGTAGAATATAGGCAGGTCGCCGTGTTCTAATGGCTTGGTATAGGAAGGTAGCAAGGAAATATTGACGGTGGTAGGACGGATAAAGGCACTTCAACTTGGTGTAGAACTGGGTAATATGCATATCCCTTGAGATCCTGAAGATAAAGCAGATTGAGCAATTCATTAAACGTTTAAGTTTGGCTTTGAGTTCTCTCAAGAGTCCACCATACACCATGTAGCCATAGTCGAAGTGGGGGAAAACAAGAGAGGAGACCAGCAGTTGACGGGTTTTGAATGGAAGAACATGGTTAAACTGTTTCAGGGTGGATATAGTACGGCGAGAAATTTGGGAGATGTGTGGTTTCCAGCAGAGGCTTTGATCGAGGGTAACGCTTAGGTTTTTAAAGGTTGTATGGTAGGAGATAGGTGAGTTGTTCAGAAGAAGATTAGGAGGTGCTGAAATGGATTTGAGGAGTGAGGGGGATGGCTTTAGTCTTCTCTGTATTTAGTCAGCTTATCAAGATTTGCCCATGTGCATATTCTATCGATGTCTTGTTGCAGTTTCAGGATGGCATTAGTGGAATCTGTCGAGTTGAAGATAAATTTGGACATCATCGCCGTATAGGTGGTATTGACAGTGTATGATAGAGGAAGGGAGGTCATTGATGTAAATGTAAAAGAGGGTGACGGATAATGAGGAACCTTGTGGGACGCCTCTGGACATAGGTAGAGACATTGATTGAGGGTTATTAGGAACTACAACGTACTGGGAGCGATCGGTGTGAAAGGATTGGAACCACTTAAGGGCACTAGATGATAAGGATATATTTTTAAGTTTGGTTAGGAGGATATTATGGTCAACTGGGTCGATTGCTTTAGAGAAATCAAGAAAGATCAGGATGGTGAGTTTCTGTTGATCTATGGCTGTGTGGAGATCTTGGGAGATTTTAATGAGGGTGGAATGAGTGGAGTAGTCTGGTCTAAAACCAGACTGGAAGCAGTTCAAATGTATATTTTGATATTGGGATATATTTGAGATATTGGGATAGTTGAGATTGTACTATTCATTCTAAATGTTTGGATAGGTTAGATAACAGGAAAATTGGACGGAAATCATTAGGGGTTGTGGGGTTAGAGATTTTGTTCAGAGGACGAACAAAAGCGGTTTTCCAGGTGCTGGGAAAATTGGAACTTTGTAGTGAAAAATTATAGATATGATAAAGGACTGGGAAAATGGATGGAAGTGAGGATTTAATTAATTTAACTGGGATATTATCTGGTACGAAATCTTTGGTTTGGGATTTACAGATGGATTTAAGGAGGTCGTCAGGGGTAATATGCGAAAAGAAAAAATGATTAGGATTAAAGGGGGGATATATGAGGGGTATAGCTGGTGCTTGGACAGAGGGATTGGATGATCAGGAGAAAAAATGAGTGTTGAGTATGTCAGCTGAAATAGAGGTAGTCTGGGTTTGGGTGGATTTGCCTAAGGATAATTTATATTGGAGTAGGAAGGGTTCAGTTTGTAGAGGATGGTCTCGAGTGTTTCATCAAAGGGGATTGTAGGAGGTCGGTAGATGACACCAATGAGCAATGAATATGAGGAGGTGGATATTTCAAAAAGATATTCAATGTGTGGGGAGACGGAGAGAGGAGACAAAGCAACGATTTTGGATTTTAGGCTATCATGGACAAAAATGGCTACACCGCCTCCGCTTCTATTTTCTCTAACGTGACGGAGTAGGGTATAGTTAGGGAGTGAAACTTGAGAGGATGTGACCGTCGGTTTTAACCAAGTTTCTGAGACAGCAATTAGGTGGTAGAAGTTGTGGAGGAAGAAATCATAGGATTCGTCTATGTGGGCTAAAAGTGACTGTGCATTGACATGACAGGATAATAAGACATTAGCCATAGGAGATGGTAGATTGGGATAGTGAATCGGTAGGAGGGGCGAGAGATATGGAAATAACAGAAATAATCTAGATAGTATCCTATAATCAATGGAGATAATAAACAAAAAAACAGTAGATACATACAATCTGACCAATAGTGGACCAGGAGTGTTATCTTGCAGAGTTCTGATCCTCTCTATCCTGTCCACATCTTCCACCTTTAGGCTTAGCCCTAGCGCTGCACCCATATTCACTGCCAGGCCCATTGGAGTTTCACCAGGTCTCACCGGAATTCCTCTAATCTCTGCGGTTTTAGCTAGGTGCTATTGCTCGGATCTGTTTAGCTTTATTTCAAGCTCCGACACTCGTGATTTTAGAGTCGAATTCTCCAAAACCAAGCCATCTATTTTCGAGTTTTGAGCTTCTAGGAGCGATTCTATGGCTTTTAATTGCTTCGAGTTTGCGAAAGTGATAGATACCTGGGTTTCCATTGATGATTTCAAATCCTTCAGGTCGGAGGCATTAGCTTCAACAGAACTTCTCAGGTTCTTAACCTCGCTTGTAAGCTCTTTGATTGCAGAGAGCAGCAACTGCGATGTACCATCCCCAGTGGTATGCTGCGAGCTTGTGCCTCTTTCGGTAGGCGAACTATTTCCTTGGGCCTTTTCACAATTGGGGCATTTCCAAGTCATTTCTTTTGGTACTACTTCACTAGCAGGCCGGGTCAAAACCTCACTTCTTATCTATGTTATCTAACATCACGTCACATAACCTCCTTCTTCTTATCCCTCCAAACCTTTCAGTTATTACATTGTTTATTTTTCAGTTATTCCCTTATTACGTTCACTTATTAAATTCTTTATTTTTGGCCCGTTTGTGTTTATTTTTCATTTCTTTTTTAGTTTATTTTCGTAAAATTATGAATCTTGTTACATTCTGGGATTTACCGTCTTAAGAAGAACAGGCTATTGAATATTTTCAAAACGGGATACTTGCAGACGTGAAATTTTGTGAACGAGGTCATCAAATTCTTCTTCTCGTTCCACTATGTTTTTTATAATGAAGACTATTCTCGGATGACTTCTTCAATGAGAATAGAGCGGTTCACCGATGAGCACTTTATAATTTAGTCTCAGTTCCAGTTCCAAACTATTACTGGCACTACGTAATGTAAGATGGCAATAATTGTCAATGTTTACGTAGCGAGAGCACACAATTACAATTTAATTGTGGCTATTCTTATTTCCACTGTTACAAGTGATCACATTAAAAACAGAAATCAGTCTTATTAATTTATACTGAATGCTTACATTTGTAAAGAAACAACATTTGTGCTATCATTTTGTTCCATATCAAATTCTATATTATTTGTTCATGCCGAAAAACCGAGAAATTGTTTTTATTTACCTTTTGGGGCAAAGAACATTTAAACAGCTGATATACACTACATATGTAGTTTTAATAAATACTATCATTAGTATTATTTAATATTTAATTATATCGATTACAGCGATATAAAAATTAAAATTTGATATATATAGCGGTATTTAAACAAATAAAAATACCTACATTGAAATATAAATATAACTGCTTTCTTTATCTGTTGCATTTTTTCTTAAAATACTTATTTCTGCTAAGAAATGGGTGGAAGTGAAAGTTGTGTGATGCGCGCACCGCACCGGATTTTTTTATATATTTGTTTGTACTCCAGCACACTGAGAAATTTATGAGCATTTAAAAACAATTTTTGAAATTGCTTATGTTTGTTAATGCCAAGGGCCTTGTTGGTGATTTCTTTTTCCATAAGTATCTGGAAAATTAAATGAATTGGAAATAACTTTCCTTCTTCTACCTGTATTTGTTAAAATATCAGAAACAGTCAGCCCTGATTTTTCATTCCTTGAATAATATTTCTTTCACTCAAAGATAGAGATTTGGCTATTCTTATTTCCACTGTTACAAGTGATCACATTAAAAACAGAAATCAGTCTTATTAATTTATACTGAATGCTTACATTTGTAAAGAAACAACATTTGTGCTATCATTTTGTTCCATATCAAATTCTATATTATTTGTTCATGCCGAAAAACCGAGAAATTGTTTTTATTTACCTTTTGGGGCAAAGAACATTTAAACCTAAGTAATAGAAGCTATTTATGGTAAAATAAAATTATAAACTGGTAAAAGGCCAATAAAGTAGAAAAAAAAATTACAATTTACTTTTAAATTGGTTTTGAATTATTTAAAAATTTAGTTAGTTATTTTTACTATACCAATTGCATGACCTGGTAACTATGAGTTAATAACACCATGCCAAAGGATGTATAAAGTTGTCGGGGTGGATTATAAATTAATTGCTAAGTCAACAGGTAAGCATCCAATGGGGTCATTTGAAATCTAAGTGAGAGGATTGTGTTAAGTTTCAAATTTTGATGGAATTGAGAGGAGTGAAAGTTATAAGCAAGGACTATTGTGTTATTAATATCGATCTTTTAGATTTGTTAAGTCTTATTTGTTTTATTTCAATGTTCACATACAGCGAATGATAATCCAGTTTTATTTAACTGTTTTAGCTGCATCAATATTTTCTGTCCCTGGTATCCAGCTGAGTCCTGATCCATGCATTCCGAAAAATTCAAAAAGTAGACGCCAAAGTCTTCTTCTCTGAAAACGGCGGTATATGTAGGTGTGTCCGAGGATTTTATTACAGGTGTTAGTTAAACACACAGCACACTTACATATGGATAAAAATCTAGTGATTTGTTATTGGATTACAATTTAATAGGTTCATACTTAATGTGCCTCAACTATTTTTATAGTCATTATTTTTAGTTTTCTCATGTGCAGAAGATTGTTTTAAAGTAATCATATTTCTTTACTAACATTTTTAATGGCATATCAACTTGATATGCTATGATTGATGGTAATTATCCCACAAATTATGTATGTGAATTTGGGATATGGGATGCCTTGTGATGTTGTCGCCATATAAAGTAAAGTATTATTTTCTTAACATTTATGTAATGTGATATTTAAAAGAAGAAAAAAGATATGAGTTGTTTGAATTATAATGAGTTGTATATAAAGGTGCAAGTAGATTTGTTGCTTTTTGTGACAAAAATAATTTTAATTGCACATAATTTTTGTTTATTTATTTTATTATATTATGTTTTCTTTTTGTTATTTTCATTATTTACTTGGAATACACATTTTTTTTTGTTATTGATTGAAAGTTTACATGCTAATATTCAAAGTGTAATCATAATCATACTGTTGTTGTGTCCAAAAACATAAACATGATTCATTTATTATTGTTATGTTAGTTGGAAATTCAGTTTATTGAGTATATATTTTATGTAAAACATTATTGCCAAAGGCTCTGGGTAAGGTAGTTAGTTATAAGCACCCCCAAAGAGACAAATGCATGTCATCTTACAAATATGTAAATATCCCAAAAAACTTCATCACCAAAGTTTTGTATCTCTAGTTCCCTCCTGTGCCCTGTAATTAGCTTAAATATCTTGAAAATCTGCTGTTTTTCTTTGTATTTTTTTTATAAGCACTTAAGATAAATTTCTTAACATTTCCATAAGCCAAGAACCTCAGGAACTATCAACAGGAACTTTTGATACAGCGACATATGGAACATTGTTAGGAAGAAAAATAGGCACAATATGTAGTTAATGATCGTTTGTTTGTTTTGTTGAGAGAAATCTCAAAACATTGTATGAAAATTTGGGAGGGGAAATGACATTTCTAAAAAAGTCTTAGAAATGAAAAGTTTTTTCAAATGTTTCAACCTATTGCATCACATTGAAAAAGTTAATAGGTTTAGTATTTTGTATTATAAATCCTGTAAGTTTCATTTATTCTACTAGATCAATATGCTATAGAGCTATAGTTGTTTTCTTCTAAATTTTCATTCAAAGTTTTTAGTAGTTCAGAAATGAGGCGATAGGGAAATCTTTTGAGGGTATATATTTGTGTAATTTGACTGGCATTTATCTCTCTTGAGGCACTTTTATCTACCTTGTCCGAACAGAGACTATGAATCAGACATTTTATTGTATGACATATTTTTATAAATCCTAGGAATGTTACATTTTTTTTTTCTGTTAATGAATTAAGATCATTATTTACATGTATGTTGTTCTTAAGTTATATATTTACTGTATATGTAATTTATTTTAATGTTCGGAGTTTTTGTAATTATTTAATTTTCTTCATTGTTTGTAGATATGAATTGATTTTTATTAATGTTTTATTATAAGACTGATACTTCTGTTTTAATTAAATTTATATCTTTTGAAGTATACACTATTATGAATTTACCATTTTTTTAATACACTGCCAATGCAGATGCAAGGATTAGATATGTGCCATTTAGAAAAAAAATTTCTATCCATGACTTTGATTCAATGTAGTTAATATGAATCACCCAGGGTATTCTGCTAATTGTAATTCATGATCTGAGAACAGTAATTCACTTGTATAGGTACAAAGTATATTGAAAAATCTTAAAATCTTATTCCGAATCTTCAGTATTTTTTTAAACTGTATTATTTTTAACTTATTTTTTTTTGTTTGTGATCAATAAAGCATTGAACATAAATGATTTTTCCCATCGAATGATTTAATTAATATCCCAAATTTCATTTATTTACAAGGTTGTTGTGTTTCATTTGTGTAAATATTTAGGAATCATATTTTTGTAAAGCCTGTATAAATATATTGCTGTACTATACCTAATGCAAATATTTCTTTGTCGAAACGTGTGATTTTATACTTACAGAACCAAGGGAATTCAAGCGCCATATTAACTGGTATTCTCTTTCATTCCTTCCACCTAAATAAATAATTATAATGTATTTAATAACGCTCTTTTCTAATGAAATAAAGTAAAATTTAATTAATCTATAGCAAATTTTATTTCCTTTTGCCACTTTAGTTTATTGAAATAGTATATTTTTTCCCTTAATATAATAAAAAATTAAAGTAGTAACCCAAGTTTGTAAGTTCCTCAATTATTATTATTTCCAAATTAATGTTTTCATTATTAAATTTTTAGTATCTGTGTTGAATTGATTTTATGCTCAGGATTTATTCTACCTCAACATTGCAACAGTTATGGATTATTTCTTGCAAAATTTCCTCATTTTTCATCTAGAAGCATACTGTGTACAGACATTGTTGAAGGAAGACTGAGCAGTCAGAATAGAATGATGTGTACGAAATGATACGTTAAGAGTAAGAGTTAGATATAATAACTGCAGATTAAGTTCCATGAATGGAGAGGTTAGAGGTAATGCAGAAGAACGACTTAAAGGCATAAATTTTCTAGTACTTTTTTTATGGATTTAGTTACCACATTCAGATTTTATGAAACATGCCAATATTAGTACTGGATGTAATTTTCTCTTGTTTTTGATGAAAATTGGATTTAATAAGATTTTTACGTCCATATAGAGGAAAACCGTGAAACAACACTTGGGGAAACAGAGCAGAACAATCATTTAGACATTTTTTTTCATTCTATAATGGAGGGTTGGACTCATCATAAGAATGTCAATTGTACAGATCCTAACCATATATCTTTTCAAGGAGAGATAGTAGAGTGGGGAGGGCGACAATAACCTAGAAACTGGAAAGAATATTTAAGGAAGCATTTATCTCAATTATTGGGGAAAAAAGTTTGAACTTAGAAGAAGAATAAATAAAATAGTGGATTTGAAAATAGAATTATAAGATTTGATAGGAAGCATAATATACCATATACAAATGGATTTGTGAAAGATATAGTTAATAGTGATATTATAATAGAGCAATTACTTATTCATATTAATGAAGATGAAGATGAAGACCTGCAAAGTCGGGTCGAAACGTCGGCTTTCTATAAAATAGTTTTACCACTATTTAGCCTATTTATGACCACAACCTCGGACCATCTCCTTCCTTTATTCATATTAATGTTTGATAGAAGTAGCACCAATTCACACCTAATTTAATTTTGAAAAGATTGCAGACTAAATTCATGACATGTTAATTTTTTTACAAGTTTTTGATTTTACTGAGGATTTTTATAAAATATATAACTCCTTGGTTAAAAGGATATTTGGTTCCAATAGAAATAATGTTAAAGAACATGAAATACAATGTTTTTGTCCAGTATGTATAATCCAAACTTCTTTTGATAGCCCCATAAAGAAGAGGAAGAATGCATTTGAGGTTGTTCTATTTTAAGAGATTATTTTTTGAAAATAATAAAAAAATTCCCTCCTCTATTTCCTTTCAAGGCTTCATTTATCTTACCTTTGTCAATTTTCTAAACTATGGCATTCATCCGTGTATTGCAAAATCTCTGTCCGTCATCTTTCCTCAGTTTCATATCATGAGTATCTTAAATAATTCTTTATATTTTTAAATCAGATCCCTCTAGCTAAAATGGGGAATACTTTTCTTGCAACATTTCAATCAAAACTATTAGCTGGTGAAAGGGATTGTTGCATTATGTTCATAAGACTGTCAAAAATACATTTTAATGATCACAGGAAATGGTAATATATTTTACTTCTGTTAAAAATTGAATGTGCATGTACATCTGATGTACCAGTAATAGAAATATTTTGTAAGAATTAAGCATATCTTAATGTCATTATAGACGTAAATAGGATATCTGTGATTTTACATACTATTTACTACATTAAGTAAAAGTTAATTTCCATTTTAAATCCATTCTTGTAGGAGGATGGATCACATATAATAAACTGTAATTATTTTTTATTTATTGACTAGTTTTATACACAAACTGTATATTTCCACGATAGTCTTCTGTGCGATATATAAACTTGTCCCACCCAATTGGAAGCTTTATTCATAAAAAGTCCGAAAACGATTATCAGCCAATTACGTAAGTGCTCCTGGACTCCTTCATTTCTTTGGAATCGTTATCCTTGACTAGAAGAGGATTATTTTTTTTTTAAGTGCATCGTCACATCTGATAAGCCATGGGTCTACCATTATACTCTCGCATCGAAAATGGCAAGTTTGGAGTGGTGAAAGAAGGTTGAAGGCAAAAATTCTTATCACGACTTTTATTTATTATTTATTATTAAAACTCAAACTTCTCATCAACGCCAGGCATCATACCGTGTTCTTGACAAGGAAAAGTTATTGCAACGATATATATATATATTCCAGAGGATTTTTACCCATTGATTTTCTTCAGATCCAACTAACAGAGAATGCAGTATAATTACCATTTGTTCAGCCCGTAAAAACTGCTTACTTAAACAAAATAGGAGGTATGATTATTAGAAATGTCATCTGGCATTTCTTAAACCGATTAGTAAAAACTACACAACTAAAATGGAGGAGAATAACAAGATCCTCAAAGGCTCTGTATTTGATTATAATACTCTCTGGTCGTAAAAATGGAAAAATGTTAATGCAGATAAGTACTCTGTCTTCTTAAAGTTTATTTAATAAACAACTATGCCTCTACTTTTTCATGGTAAAATATTTATAACCAGCCTAGGTCACTCTTACATAAAATATTGTTAACAGATATTTTAATATGCCTAAATCACATTTAAGGGCGGTCAACACTATTCTGTATTTATTAAGAATTGCTTATTATGCAATTGAGAGAAATTTGTGTTTTGCTATAATTTTAAAACAATATTATAAAGAACTAATTTCACAATATTGTATTAATGTAATGCAAAACTAAACCCAAAGTTATAATATATACACACTTTCCTAATGTAAGATAAGTGTTGAAATCCATAGGCGCCGAATACTAGGGGCTCACGGGGCTTGAGCCCCCCCATGCTGCCATGGTGAGGGCTCAGCCCCCCCCCCTAACAAATTGCTGTAGTATGAACTTCATAAGCATATCGATCGTGTACATTACAAAGGACTGTATCTATCTACTATCAGGTAAGTAGAATTTGTTTAGTGGTGTCCTATTTTGGATTTATAAACTCATTAAAACTGTAAAATGAAAGATCTATTTAAATACTGTACTGTTTTAGTTTAAAGTTGTTGGTGTAATAACACTTCATTGTCATCAGGAATGGCTTGAAACAACTCAATACCTGCCTGAGATCTTACTTTTTCATATAGGAATGTATTATATATTGCATATAGACAAATAGGATATATCCCAAACAATATCACCACCGTCCCAGAACCCTCATCCCCCGATCTTATAGTTTGACCCCCCAATAATTTTCACAAGTCGGCTTCTATGTTGAAATCGTTAGGTTACCTAATTATGTTAACTATAAGCAGATGTACTAAACTTGATTAGAGAGAAACTATGAGGATCATAAGAACTCCTTGATAAAAAAGACTTGTATGGTTATGTGGTGACTAGTCCTAAAAGTGGGTCTATTGGCCCTTTTGGCCTAATCCTAACGGCAGTCTTTGTGTTATCGCCCAAACCTAGCCAGACTGGTTGTGTCAAGATCTATCTTGCAGAGCTTGAACTGAATATTAACAAAGTAATTTGAGGGAATTTTAAGACCGAAGCTGTGCGTGTAAATATAAATGTCATCTAATCAAATCCCGGCCACTAACATCACAATTCAATCTTTGGCTTTAAGTCAAACCTAAGCCGTTCGATGGTTGTAAAATAGTCGCAGGAAGTTCAAAAAAATTAAAATCGCCATAGTGACTAAGCATCCAATTCTTATAACGTATCGCCTCATATAGCTTGGTGAATTGCATCACTTGGCACTAGCGAATCCAGGATTTGACTTTAGGTTAAAGGCTTGAGCCCGAAAACTTTTGTTATAGATATATAACGATTATTACTTTGGAAGAAGAAGAAATAAACTATCTATATGAAATGGCGTTTAAACGATTCTCGAAGTACTATTAAATGTAATTATCCGAACATTAATACTTTTAGACATAATTGTTTAGTATATCTTATTATATCTAGGCAACATGTTTTTTTTTTTTTTGTTTCTAGAATATCATCATTTAATTGATATTAGCCTTTTATTTCCTGGTTGTGTCGATACGAGAGAAACATGTGGAACAAAAGATCCCTCAATTCGCTAGTCATTCTTTCATACCATATATTCAGATTAAGGATTAACACACTCATCTTCTAGAGAGTTGCTTTCCTTGCCGAAGAGAGTACATCATCACACGATTAAGTTTCTCAGGTATTGAACTGTTTATACCGTCGAATCGGGGAACGTATGACATTCCTCTTGGCGTTTTTCCCATTGTTCTTGACTTCCTGATGACGGACGCCAATTTATCCATTTATTTTTCTTCTGATTTAGACAAAAGTGATCCGGAAATTTGATTTGATTTTATTTCACTTAAAAAATATATTAACATTTCACTTGCAGATGTATTGCAAAACATGAGTGAACTTTTTGAAAAGTTTAATACTCTATACAGGTTTACTTATAAAATAAATATGGTATGAAAAGTAAATGCTGATTTAAATAAACAATATAAAAGTCATTGCGATGATTTTATTCCATATTTTAGTGAAAGAGAAGGGGATAGATAAATGCAAATTCCACATGTTCATGTGATTATTAAATTATATTTATATTGCATCATGTGAGTAGTAGGCGTCCATGAAATTTTATTAGGCACCCTCTGAACTAATTTTGGGCTGGTACATTACACTTGCTTGGTAGCTTTTCCAAATATTATTTTCAAATGATTAATTTCTTTCTCCGTACATTTTCTTTGATATTATGCTATTAGAAATTGTAATGCAGTAAAATAGCAATCTTATTAGTCAGGATACAAGTATGAAGATACATTTGAATTTTTATCATTTTTTTTTCGAAAGTGAATAATGGAAATATTTTATACATTTTCAATCTTGTTAAATTTATTTCATTATTATTATTTTTGTGAATGATAACACCATTCACTACAGACAGTAGTGAGTTCTACCCGAAGTGTTCCGAACAAAACCGGAGAGATCCGATATACCAAAGGGACTCATTTGGTCAAGAAACGTTTTATTTTTAGTATCAACTTTCATATTTTAGTTAATGAAATATTTGAATTTAAGGTGGTAAAATTTAACATACATAGATAGTTTATTGGGATCCAATGTACATGATTTCCCATCTATCAACCTAAAAGAAAAATATTAATGGTTTCTAAAAGTATTAAATTGATTCATATAATATATTCAGAGATATGAGTTTCTTTTCTTAGTTAAAATGATGATCAAAGTATTATAAGTGAATAACATGAAAAGAGGAATACATTTCTGATAGAGATGGCAGTGGAAGGCCGGGGGAGTGGGGTGAAAAGATTCGAGATGCCTCCAGTTGGGCTTTAGCTGTTTGATGTGGCAAAACCGTTTAGGTCGAGTCGAGAAGCCGGGCATTTGTTTACGTCAGTTACCTTCACTAACCAATTAATTAAACTTTGTGATAATGTGCTATTCAACTGATTTGTGTAATAACTCCGTGTTTGTGTTTCCATAAATTATTGATGCACTTTTTATAAATTAAAACTATTTCTCATCTGTCGTTTGTCATCTATATGTAAAACTACTAGTTCTCCTATATCAGTAAAAAAATTAAAGTAGAAGAAGCTTGTGTAAAAAAAATTATATAGCAGTTAAAAAAAAAAAATTGTCACTGGAACATTGTCTATGTTTGTTGTTCTTATTTATTTTAACCACCAGGATATGTTTAATCTTCAGCTAATGTTGGATGGCAAATGATACTCCAATTAACCCAGTTATCATTCAAAATTTAAGGTGAGTTTTTGATTGCTTTATACATTATTTTTTAACCTCAAATTTGTTATCTAAAAATTATATATTGCTGTTAGTATTTGCCCTCAACCTTATTGAATCTATCTATAATGTTTACATTCATTCAATGGTTTTAATTTATGCATTTGTTTCATAGATTTGTCATGAAAATTATCCCCTTTTTTTACATTCATTATTTTTACCCAAGTTTTTTCAGTAACTTTATTTAATATTTAGCTCTGTTTTTAAATTTGTTATCAAAACATTGCCTAAATATTTTCAGTACTGATTGCACTTGTTTTAACCTCTCTCTCTGTTGACATATGTTATTTGTTGTCCATGTGACAAAATCTAGAAAAGGTTATGTCAGATATTACATTTGAAAAAGTTTTGAGACTCCTTTGCCTGTTAAAATAGAGTTGATTAAAATATTGATAAAATTCCAGGGCTATTCCATTGTCCCTTCTGTTTGATTTTGTTTTTTAAGTATATTTTCTTGAATATTTGAGAATATATTATCTACATTCTGTCTCTTTTATATTATTATTGATTTTCGTTAACAGCATATTTTTTTATATGTTCCAAATTAAATTACCTCTGATTTAATGTGCAAAAATCAAACCTCTTTCACTCTGTAATCAGCTCGTGAATGATTTTGATTAGTAATATAAGAATTCATTCAGTAATTGAATGGTATATCGATCAACATCATTATACATTTTTATTTTATTTTTTTCAGGAATGGTAAAGGAAATGAAGAAAAGGTGAAATACAATGTCCACCTACTACAGGCTTGTGCTGTGGGCTTTGACCCTTTGCTTCACTACAACTTTTAGTGCTAATATTGTGAAAGTGTTCCGTGAAGATGGTGGAGGACCTGAATTTAAATTTAATCATCTAGTTGTTGATAAAAATACTGGAAGAGTTTATATCGGGGCAGTAAACAAATTATATCAACTTTCACCTGATTTAGATTTAGTAATTGCTGAGACGACTGGACCACAAGAAGATTCGACGGATTGTTCTGTGATTGACTGCCCATCATCTGTTGTTAAAAAATTGACTGATAATGTTAACAAAGCACTTGTTATAGACTATACTACCACAAGACTTATAGTATGTGGTAGTCTATTTCAGGGAATATGTTCTGTTCGAAGTTTACATAATATATCAGATGTTGTTCAAGTAGTAAAAGAAGCGGTAGTAGCTAATAATGCAACTGCTTCAACCGTTGCCTTCATTGCACCTGGCCCTCCAAATCCACCCGTTACTCAAGTTATGTATGTTGGTGTTACTTATACAAATAATTCACCTTATCGAAGCGAGGTGCCTACAGTTTCATCGAGAAGTCTTGAAAGGGACAAAATGTTTATGATTGCTCAGACAGCAGTGACGACTGGAACAAGAATGTTTGTTAATTCACTTGCCAGAGAAAGGTACCCCATAAATTATGTTTATGGTTTTGCATCGGAGGGTTTCAGTTATTTTCTTACTACCCAAATGAGACATAGTGGTCCATCTCCATTTATATCAAAGCTTGTCCGAGTTTGTCATGATGATGAAAATTATTACTCTTATACCGAAATACCTATTGAATGCATTGATAGTGAAGGGAAGAAGTATAATCTTGTTCAAGCGGGATATGTTGGAAAACCTGGTTCTGATTTGGCTTCTAATCTTGGAATTACTGCACAGGATGATGTTTTATTTGCTGTGTTTTCTGAAAGTGAACAACCCGAAGGTGAAGGTTCTAGTAAACCGAGTCAATTTAGTGCCCTTTGCGTTTATTCATTAAAGGCGATTCGGCGAAAGTTTATGCAGAACATCAAAACTTGCTTTACCGGCAGCGGCAACAGAGGTCTTGATTTCATCTCTCCCAGTCATAGCTGTATTTTAACGGTAAGCCAATTTTTACTGTGTAAAACAATATTGTTTTGTATTTTGCCATTTAATTTTTTTTTCTTTTCTTGTCACAACTTTTTAGATAACAAAAATTTATCAGTAATTTTCAAGTTTATTATTTTCTTATAAGAAACAGAGAACCAAGATCCTTTACAGTGGAAAAATTACTTAGGCCACTGTCTTAGCTCACCTGACTCTGTCATGTGAAAGAATTTGGTTTTCTTGTTAAAAAAAAAATATATTATCCTTTTATTAGTTTTATTAGTGTTTCAGAGTCATTGATTAGAAAAAAACTTTTGTTCTTCACTATTATTTCATATATCTTATAAGTTTTGCTAAGAATATTTTTTTTATAATTGTTTTACTAAAATTAATAAGTCTTTCATTTCATAAAAGTGTTAATTCTTTGGTTATCAGTGTAATAAACATTAAAGTAAATATTATACGATGAGGACATATTAAGTAATCATTAATTGTAATTAATAAGTTAAATTAATATGTATATATATATTTATAAAACCATAGCTCAAGCATTGAACTTTTTAGCTTTCTCTTTCTATGTACAGTTCATTAAATTATATTTTTATGCATGTAAATAATTTATATATACATATTCATTATATATATATATGAATTTATAATGGTTATTTTTGCTCTAATATATATGTAGTATGTATATTTGTAATTGTTGGGCTGAGTATCAGTGGTTAGGTTGATTAGGAGTTTTTGTTACCTTTTTATTTTGGCTACATCTGAGGAAAACTAGATAATTTATAAAAAAATTAAATTAAATTTATTAATTTCATATTATCTATTTCGTTTTGTACATAATAATAATTTTTCACATTTATATGTTTCAGAAATTGTATCATATATAAATCATAAATTGCATAAATATCATTTATAAATATATCTTAAATTGCATTGGTTTATTACAAATACACGTTTATATTTTTTATGGAACTATTTGAATTGATTTTATTTTCGATGTGTTCGTTGTGGCCACACTGTTATCCTATTTGTATAGCGTAAGTTATTTGTAAAATTTCATTTTCCTTATAAAATATTATTGTATGTTTTGGGATTTGTGCCCTTTCAAAAATTTGAATTTCATAGAAGTTAAATTATTAATACATCGTTTATGGTTGAGATATCAAGTTTGATTATTTAGTCATTGTCTTATCGTGAATTTTTATTCACTTTGAAAAACTGTTTTTTACATACTAATTTCCTGAATCTCTTCTAATCTTATTATATTAAAAAAAAACTATGTTGATTGGGTTCAGGAGTATACAATTCTTGACGAAGTAAAATTTACTTCTATGACGCGCCACTTCTTTCTCTTGCTAACCTGTACATTCGTGTACTGCTGCTACCTCTAAAATAAATTATTTTGACTTACAATAAATAAAGTTGAAGGTTTTTGCGTTACTTAAAATAGAAACTTAAAATTTCCCTTATATGCTACAATTCTTAAAATTGTATTACAACTATTAAGGATTCTCGTTGGTTTAATTTATTTTGCTGAATGGTGATATTCAGTAGTAATTCTGTTTAAAAAAGCTAAGTAAAATTTTGTTTTATACATTTTTTCAGGAATTTCTTAATCACACCACTTTTGAATTATGATTTACCCCAGATTCAAATTTTTTTTTTTTTTTAACTCTTATTTTATGTATAATGTTTCTGGTCGTTGTGCTGATTTAAAGTTGCTACTATCCTGTAAAAACAATATATAATATATATATATATATATATATATATATATATATATATTTGTATTTACAGCATTGAAGAGGATCCCATTGTTAGCTTAAAAAACCGGGATCGAAACGTCGAATAAACAACAGGATCAATGAACATTTTGTAGTTTATTGAATAATAAATAAGTGACCTCATTCCCGATTTTAATAATAAAATAAAATGATTTTTTTTAGCGGAAGGTTCTGGATTCGAATCCGGCTATTGGTAGGTAATTATTTATTCTGTTTCATTAGCCATGGATCGACCCTGGGGTCGGGAGACCCTCTTGAGGCTCATCCAGCCTTTATAAAGTGGATAATCCTGATTAAATAATTATTTAATGGGGGAAACCTGGCGGTTGAGCGTGATCTTGGCCCGATTACTAACCTGTACAACTGTTGGCTTTGAAACAGTACTTCCTTACAAAGTGCTGTACCCAAGACCCTTCATGGATTGTTGCGGTACAGGTTTATATATATATATTTATATACGTACAAATATACCAATGCATAATATTTTGTTGTTATTTAAATATTGCATTGCACGAATCTTTCTTATTAAAAACAATCCTCTTTTATTTTTATCTCTTTTAATAACTGTTTTAGCACATTTTACATTTTTATTGTCTATTTGAAAATAGGTTGAAAATTTAAATCCGATTAATATCTCATTTACCTCGTTTTAAGTTATTATTGTGTAAACATTAATTATGGTCATGCCTTTTCTATTCCTCCTCGCTAATATAAATAAAACTTATTTCTCCGTGATTTATACCCATAATTATTAACAATTATTATTTTATTGGTATTAATTGTAATTTACCTCAGCGGCTTTATTTTTTTAAAAGTAAGATGCTAACATGCTTATTGTTACTGTCCATCTAAATATTACCGGAGATGTTCATACCTGAGCTATGACAGGAAAAATAAAAATAATTTAAAACACATTTTTACCATTTTCTCGAAGCCGGCTCCAACGATTTTTATTAAATTCATTATATCAGTGTAAAATTAAGCAGTTTTTAATATTATGTAGGTTTTATTCTCATCGGTGTTCTCTAACACAGGGCTTAAATTTCAATATTAGCTTCCTGTAAAGTACGTTTAATTTTTTTTTTTTTTTTTTAAACAATTAACCATTTCAAATTGATCTCTAGTGTAAAAAATAGTTAAATATAAAATATGAAAGAATTTGATAATTAAAAAAAAAATATGAGATCGTAACACAGAATAGTTGTAATGAAGGTACAAAAGGGCTGCGAGCGTGGCCGAGCTGGCCCGAAGATTAGAACAAACTTCCATACGTAACATGAGCATAATAAAATAAGGACTCCAACAATATTATGTACATATACATAAATGGTTTTCCTAAATGTATTCATTGGTGTTATTTAATATTTAATTGTATAGATTACATCGATATAAATATTAAAATTTGTATATATAAGGATACTTCAGCAAATTAAAATATCCATAGTGAAATATAAATCAATATAACGTTTATAATTTTTACTTTCACTTCCCCTTTGTCTGAAAATACTTATTTCTGATAGAAAGCTGGCGGTAAGTGAAAGTTGTTTGATGCGCGCACCGCACCAGATTTTTTTTTTTATATTCCGTTTGTATATATTTTAAAATATGTGAATAAAACAATTAAATAATTCATAAAATCCTTCGGTATTTTACTATAAATTATTATCTCTGAACATGAAGGAAATTTGAAATAATGGGAATATTAAGGTCGCAGTAAAACAATTACGGTGCCTACTTCTAGGCCTTAGTATAGCATATATTATATTTTATTCATTCGTGTAGATTATTTGTTATTGAGTTTAATTTTTTATACTAGACCGAAACGGCAAGAAACCGCTCGATGATTCCGATTACTTCAGCACTTATTTGGACTTACGGAGTTGAGCTATGGGGCTCCACTAAACCATCGAATTCATCTCGCATCCAATCCAAAATCCTTCGTAAAATCCTCAATGCTCCCTACTTTGTTACAAATAAGACCATCCATAATGACACTTTTGTTTCAGATCTGGCCCAATCCAGATACCTATCCTTCCATAATAAACTTCAGAATCATCCCAACCCTCTCGTTTCTAACCTTGCTTCCTCTTCAATTCCTGATAACCCTCCTAGGCGTCTGAAAAGAAGATGGCCCCGTGATATCCTAATGTAGACATTATCATTAGAGTGCTACCATTGGGTAGTTACTCAACAAGTGTTTTCATGTCATTATATCCATATGTTCAAATTTACTAGATGTATTTATATAATACAGTTGTAGATATCATTAAGAAATAATAAAAAAAAAAAGTTTAATTTTTTTTTTTTTAAGTTATACCCCACATTATTGAGGGGATGGAGGGGGGGGGGGAAATTCTCGCCTCTCTCTGTTTATGGGGGCTAGCATCCATCTCTCACCGAAGTATGCGCCTATGAATGGATTGTTCTTATTTTAGCTATGCAATCATCGCTATTGTTGGGCTTATCATACTTCGATGTGTAAAGGGGGGGAGGTTCTGAATCTTGAGATTTTGTTTTATCTTGAAATTATCCTTCGATGGCGGCTGGCTTGAGATATCGGCTTGGCCAACGGGTTGACTGGTCGTCCTTGTACCGCCTACTTCCTTCTGGCGCCTCTTGCTATTACTGAAAACATATCGGCTCTGTTAGTGTTATCATCCAGGAATCCTATGCCTGTCTTTCTCAACTTTTCCCTTTAAAAATAATTTCTAAATTATTATATATTAATAACTTTTAATGTTTTACTAACTGTTTATGTATATATATATATATATATATATATATATATATATATATATATATATCGTTTACTAATCTGTTATTATATTAGTCATACTTAATGCTGTGGTTAATGTTATGTTTGAACACAGTACTAGACTCAAACATTGTTAATTATACCATTATATTTATTTGTACAGGAATTTCCTTAGTCTAATAAAATAAACTATTCTATACACTTTGTGTTTTTTTTTGTGAAAAATAAGAAAAAAACAAACATATTTTTGATTGTATTAAACGAATTCAAATGCATAATAAATTTAAAAATCTGGCGCTGTTCTTGGATCACACAACTTTCACTTACCACCTCCTTCTTAGCAGAAATATAAGTATTTTCAGACAAAGTGGAAGTTCAAGTTGAAATTATAGACACCATATTTATTTATTGGATATTTAGTAGTTGACCGTTGCATTATAAAGGAAGGAGATGGTCCGGGGTGGCGACCATAAATAGTGTTAAATAGTGTTGAAACTATTTTATTAAAAGCCGACGTTTCGACCCAACTTTGCAGGTCTTCTTCAGGGAGGTGTGTTCATCTAAAGAGTTTCACGTAGAACTCAACGCTTCCGGTCAGCCGATTTTGACGAAAAAGTTTCTGTAACATTAGAAATAGACCATTCTATAATGAAATATGCCATGTTTTTATATTCTTTGAGATGACCAGAACATATGTACAAACGGAATACATCTCTATGCATTCCTTTAATGGTATAAATGCAAGTAAACCG